GGCATTATAATATTTTATTTATTTAATTGATTTATTTATTTATTTTATTTTAAAAAGGTAAGTATAATGAAAAGATTATAATAATAAAAAAATCAAATACCAAATAAAAATGTACACTTTGACTTATTTGATTATACCAAATATATGTTTATTTAGTATATACGTTAAATACTTACTAAAGTATTTATTTGTATTATTTGTCAAAGTAAAGTATAGATTTGTTTATATTATCAAATCATAAAAAAATATTAAATCCATATTGTAAAAAAAAAAAAATCATATAATTTTATAACAATTCTACTACACTATTTAACAATATTGCTTTTTTGTTATATAGTAAAATAATATTTAAATATTATATGGTGAACAACAATAAGTAAAACTGTTACTTTCTCTTATATCAAGGGATAAATTAATTTATCTGTTAAAATTAAATTTTTATTAGTATAAATATTTTAGTGAGATAATATATTAATTATTTTACAAGTTAGCCCTAACATGCTCATATTCAATGTTTTAAAAGATGTAGAAAAAAACTTATAATAACTCTATTGTTTTTTAGACTTAAACGTTGATTAAAAGAGGTAAAAATTCCTAATATTTTAGACTTAAACGTTGATTAACACCATAGATTGAGAGTATATATTTAGTAAAATTCCTCATTGTAATAAAAATTTAATTATTTCTATATTTTAGAATATCTTTAAATTCATTATAAAAAAAAAAAAAGAAAAAAACTACAATGAAAAAAGCAAGTCAGTTATATATCGATTTGTTGTACTCCTCAAATCACATTCACAATTTGGCTACAAGGAAAGGAAACTCATTGATTAAAATATTATTTTGTCAGTAGTCTTAATGTATAAAAGACTTTAAGACTCCACTTGAATATTATAAAACTTTTATTGAACATTGTACAATTTTCTTGCTTATTATAAATTTTTATTGAATATTGTATCTTCTAATATAATATTCTCTAAATAAATATATCCCGTGCTTCGCACGGGTCACGTACTATATATATCCCGTACATTTTTCTTTATCCATGTATATAATTATAAGTCTGGATAAATAACCTTAAAATTGTGCACTCCGTGCATCGCACGGGCTCTGTACTAGTTGGAAAGGGAAAGAAGCCCCAATATTTGGAAATTAGATATCTCAATATTGCGTTACTTTTTCAACAATTTTTTTTAGTACATCTATGCCGATTTTGGTAATTTTAAAATAATTTGTTGTATGCAAATGTAACTATTAGTGAATATTGTTGATTGCCAAATTAATTTGTTATATATGTTTAATTTTCAATCCACACGTGTTTTTTATGTTTTTGTTTAGAAAACAACAATTTATTAGGAAAGTGATATGTATGCACAAATAAATGAAGCGATTTAATTATTTTGTATATTGCAAAGTTGTAGGTATGCACAAATAAATCAACTAAATCATCCGATTTTTATTTAAGACAACTCAACCATTTAATTTATTCAGATTATTTCATTATGATAATTGTAGATTTGGTTGCAGGATGACAAAGGAAATTTCGAAGATCTTTAAAGATTTTTTTATTGTACTTGTCCAAATTATGTACAGAATCTATATTCATTATTTATTTACTTTCCGTGTGTATTGTAAGCTAAATTTGATCAAAATATCGGACCCATTAAGGTTGGGTTAATATTTGGCATGAGAATCCGCAATGTTGACCCAATATTTGGCAAATTGAATGAAAATCACGTTAGCCGCAATGTTTGACAGTAAATCGACTTTTTTTATTTTGAATTTCAAAAAATGGCGGACATTTTCAAATTATTTACTCAAAAAAGTAAAATTGAATTATTTAGGCGAGAAATTAATTACTTTTTTAGTTAAATGTCAAACTTTTTTATATTATTATAGATATTATCTTAAAAATTATTTAGAAACTTGTAACGAGTACACCCTTTAAAGATACAAGTAGGATATCATATTTGTGTTTAATATAAAATTATATATGTATAAATTATGAGTATATAAATTAATTTATCAATTACTATTAAAATGTTAAATTGTTAGAGATATATGACTAGAACTTTATAAATAAATGAATATAAGGTTGAAGTGATTCGTATAAAAATATGTAAAAAAATAATAATAATAACTGAAAATAATTATTTTAGTTCTTAAATTGAATAAGTTATTAAATATAAAAATATGGCGGCCGAAGTTAAAAAATAAAAAGAACATAAATTTAATGCGTTCTAGGTTCTTGCTTTAGAGATTTTATTACATAAATGCATGCCAATTTAATAAATTTGTATTGCCAATTTAATAAATTTGTATTACCAAAATACACTTGTTTCTTATACCAACATCGGTCTTTCGATTTTTTATAGAACTGGCCTCCTAGGAAGGCATTATTGTTTAGAAACCATCAATAATTAAAAAATTTAAATGCAACACTACTTTTAAACTTAAATTGACAAGTATCGCATTTTGTAATTTTCCTCAATTGAAAACCATGAAATTCAAATGAGTATTTAAAAGAGCTTTAACAGCCAGTAAGTTATTTATTTGAACAAGTATACTGTTCATCATACTTGGCTTTGATAAAATCTCCATAACTTATTAGTCCCTCCAAATTAATAAGATGAGGGTGCAATTGGAAATAGAATTGATTGATTTTTTATTGATTTTTTTGTTAATTATAGTTAATTTTAAAAAAGTTAGTATGATTAATTATTAGTAGGAGTTTAAATTTATATTAAAATAATATTTAAAATAAAATCACTAAAATTAATTTGTTGTAAAAGTAAGAGAAAGATGATATGAATAATAATTAGTTAAAATTATATAAGTTGATAAATAATGAAATAAAGTTAATGCGATGTGTAAAGATGATTGATTAATATTATACAATTATATAATTAAAATTGAAGATAATAAAGTTAAATTAAAACTGAGTGAAATTTAAATTTTAATTAGTTTTTTACTAGATCAATTTACATCCAATCACCCTAAATCGGTGAAGCTCAAGCGAGACACGCCAACTTCACGCTACTTTCATAAAACCACCAATTATCTTTAATTCAAACCTTCAAAACATATCATTTTTCTTCCCAAAGTTCAATCTTACCCACAAAGGCTTTTTCACCATTGGATCTCACACAAACTTATATAGTCCAACAGATAAAAAATGGTGAAAAATTCAATCATGCTAATTAGGAACGACACATTTCGAAGGGCAACAGAATGATTCGATATATTCCTATTCAAAGAGGGTAAAAAATCTAATTTTATTTGATACATTGCAATAAAAATACTCAAGATATTTCACCGTTAATTCCTCAAAGGTACACAATTTACACAGGTTTACCGAGTCTCATTTACTGCAACACAGCACTAACAAAACAATTGGCTCATATTATACAAACGTCAAATTACAAAAATGATACGAATCAAATGACTCTAAACTGATCCAAATACCTCGGGAAAATTTTATAACTGTTACCCATTAGAGCATCCACAATGCTTTGGGTCTCTTTTTGTATATGTGGCATATAATTGGACTTGAGTTTTAAATGACATGGACAAACTCAAGTAAAAAAACTCAAAAACTTTGCAATGCAAAAATAAAAAGACTAGGTCTACCATACATGCCAACCAATAGAAATGTTCTAATATGTACTAGTACGTAACCCGTGCAATGCACGGGATGTAAAATTTGGAAGAATAATATAACCTCACGTGCATTAGGATCGAAATTGAAATCATTAAAATACATAGGCACATTGTTGAATCATAAAAAGTTCGGTAACAATCATATATTATTAAAAACCTCCTTGTACACAACATTATGAGTTGATTATTTGGTAACTCCTCATTATCACAAACTAATATTTTCAAAAGAGACAAATCCTAAAAATCAAACTAATATTTTTGGTGAACAAACTAATATTTTAGGATTTTTAGGATTTGTCTCTTTTTGGTGAACAAACTAATATTTTAGGATTTGTTATATGAATAAGGCTACCTCTTTTTGGTGTTCTTTTCATTCATTTTCATTCAAACAATCCGATGACTTGTATAATGAAATCCGAATCTTAAACCGAAATATTAAAAAAAAGAGTTCTTAAAAATTAAAAAGTCAAGGCAATCAGTTCAGATTAATTAAAGGTCAAAGAATATCCGCTCCTTGAAATAAAGACGTGTGCTATCATTAACCAAATATCCGGTTATTGATATAAAGTGGTTACCAAAAAATAGAACGCGATAAGGACGCTTCATGGAAATATCAATGGGATAAGGTCATAACAGATCGCAGAGATCGCTATACATTTTAACGATAAAAGCTCAGATGGAATGATTTATGATAATTATGTCGTAATTAATGAATTAATTAGATGTGTAAAAATGACATAATTAATGAGAAGTGTGAAAAGGACATAATTAATGAGAAGTGTGAAAAGGACAAAAATTTACCGATTTTGGAAAGTATTTAATGCAAATCCGACATTGACCATAATTTGACCTACTATTTTGGATAAATGTTAATTCTTATTATATAAGTATAGATTATTCATTAAAAAAAATTAAATTAAGAACAAATGATGAGTGCTTGGGTTTGTACTTGGATCCAAAATAGACCGAAGTGTGGACTTTGTCTCTTTTTTTCATTGCCACATAAGCTAGACCATGTCCACTTTTAATTGTATTGGGAAGTATTTTTTTATAGACTAAGTCTATTTCCCATGTGGCATGTAACTTTTTGTTAAGAGACCCAAAGCATTGTGGATGCTCTTAACAATGATATTCCACAACCGTTCCTACTCACACACATTACCAAAAATATTCCAAAATTTGACATAATTGATCAAACACGAAAAATTAAAAGAAATAAAAAATTTGNTTGCATGATCCCAATTTTGTCATTATCCATACTTTCTCTCTCTTCTATGTTTCTTCAACGCCCCTCGTATATAATTTTTTTTCTCTCTTAATTTTCCTTATTCTTCCTCACATCCCATACCCTTCTTCATATTTTTTCCCTTTCCTTTCTCCATATTTTTTTCTCTATCGCCATTTTAGATCATAAATCCAACCCCAATAAAGTAGATGCATTCATATCCGATATAAAACTTGTATACTTTTCAAAAATTAAAAAAAAAAAATTAATATATTAACTACAATTATTAACTATATAATATAAATAAACTACGTGAGTCACTAAAACATAATTATAAAAACATTTATCAATTCTCGAAAATTAAATGAGTTCAACCAAAAAAATAAAAATAATTATAAACAATATCAAATTTAGTTTTACTAAAATTGGCCACATTATCATAATGATGAAACGCACAGGTAATATGACCAAATTATCATTATTGAAACAAATACAACATACAATGCAACATAAACATGAACAAGATTGTGTGTATTATAACAACAAAATAACAATATAAAATTTGTAAAGCAACATGAAATCAACTTTCAGTTAACAATAAAATATCATGAAATTAATTAAGTTTTATAACAAATATACTAGTGTAATGTATGTACAAAAAAATACCATTATAGCAATCGAACAACGTGAAAATAATTTTCACAACAAAAAAAAATATCATCTTAGGTCGTCAGCTCCATTCGATGAGCCACGAAACTGAGACGTCGTTGATCTATTGGTTTCCACTGCTCTTAGGTCTCCAATCCATCAAATTTAAAGCCTCTAGTCCAATGGCGACCCGGACGTCCTCCCCATTAATCGCTCGTTGATGTTGCGTGGTGATTGGTGAACCACAAACAAGATTCGTCCATTCTCGTCCGCCACAGCCATGTTGTCGGGCGCAAAGGAACCGCTTGTGTCTCGTCTCATCCCCAATACACGAAATTGCATATAACTTTTCTGAACACAAATCAACACACCAACACTTCAATTCATTTTGACCGAAAAATTCCACAAGTCCAACATAGAAAAACATCAAAACTGCTGAGTTACATAAAAAATCCATCCACTGCATAAATTCCAAATTGTCGTGATCAATTTGTTAATCAAATTGTTAATCTGGTATGTTGTGCCAATAACATAAAAATCACAAAAACATCAATTCCAATCCACTTCTCTTCACAGTCATATGGTTCGAAATAGAGTCCAGGAACATTTAATCTAGGTAAATATGAAATTTTCTTACTTACAAGGCATCAACAAGGCAAATTCATCATAATAATAATCAGATAAAAAAATCTAAAAAAAATTCTAAAAAGCAATTCAATAGTTAACACGGACCATAGTTGGGGTCGACGAGGGGCGACTCAACAAGGCAAATTCATCATGATAAATAGCAGAACAGGTAAAAAATTCTCACAAAAAATTCCAATCGGACGATTAACACAGACCGTAGTTAGGGCCGACGAGGGGCGACTGCTGCGGCTCTGGTTTGACGTCTCTGATTGTGGTGTTGCTGTGGAGGCCTTACAAGATCTGTGGTATCGACCATCGACTAGATCTGGATGCATCAAAATTCGTGGCTTCAGATACGGTTGCGGCTTGATTTCTCCAACCATATATGTGGTCTGGCCGCCGGTGTCTTTGATGTAGCCGAGGAAAAAAAAAAAGGCAACAAGAATGTAGGAACATCGATGAAAAGAAAAACAATGAAAGAGACAGAACGTACAATAATGCTAAGGAGCCAACAACCAATTCAAGAAAACTTTGCTTGGTAGGCGCTGCCTACTCACTCGGACAATGCTCTTCACACTTCCGTGTGCAGTTCCGCCCCCTTATCCCATGCTGAGTCACAGGCAGCGCCTTGAAAAGCCCTTTAAACCATAAGAAGCGAGCCACATGCAGGGAAACTTGCACGTGTGGTTCTGGAAAGGATGGTGTGTTTCTTGATAATGACGACATCACAGATGTTATGCTCACTTGGGGGTTCTGCCTCGTAGGGTATTTTACCCAACGACATCCAGGCAAAGAGGCACTCTTGAAGCTGTGCAATGACTGGAAGGTCCAATACGACTATGTCCCGAATGTCAATGGTTGGATCCTTTTCAAATTCAAGACCGCCGAAGATAGGGCCAAGGTGCTAGCTGAAGGTCCGTATCAAATTTACGGGCGGGGATTAATACTCAAGGAGCTTCCCAGGTGTTGTTTTCTTTGAGTTAGTTGCCTGATCTGCGCTAATGGAGTGGTTGGGGAGGTCCTTTGGAGGGGATGCGGAGTGCAAGGTGAAGCCGAGACAGCTCCATGTGGGGCTGTCCCACATTGGAGCCATGTGGGACAGCCCCACATGGAGCTGTCCCATTGGCTGTTGGCTCCATAACGGAGCCAACAGTTGGCTCCTTAGCATTACTGACGGAACGTATCCTTTACAAACCGCTCACCGGTTACAAATTAAAAAATTCAAAACAAATACAAAACCACACCATAAATTAAAAAACTAATTGCGTCCATTAAAAGAGTTAAAAGGAGTAAATTTGTCTAAATAGTGAAGAGTGTTTAAATGTAAAATGTTTAAGGATAAGTTTAAGGGGCGTCATTTTTTCAAATACCTCACAAAATAATTTCTCGAACTCCGTTCTACAGAAAAATAATCCACAAGTAGAAGTACAAGTAGCGAAAAAATTCAGTAACAAACGTTTAATATTTATTGCAACCTTTTCAGTTTCCCGACACTAGTTATTACAATAACACTAGTTGGCCGATGGCTGTGCACGCACAGCCGACTCTAGTCCAATCAATAATTATAATCATTATTTGTCAATATTACAAAATACACATATCCATTTTTTTTTTTTTTTTTTTGGGCATGTATAAATGTACTATCAAATAACTTAAGAACAATATAGTTGACTTTTGACAAATTTAGTTTAAAATATAGTGAAAATTTGTCGTCTCTTGAAATGATCAGTCGGATTTATATCTATTTTTAAATATTGTTAGTAAATTTGATACAAATGAAGTTTAGATTGAATAAATTTTGACAAAGTTTGACTTTCATAAATTATCTGAATAGATTAGTAATTCTTACAAATTCGTCACAATTAAATGTACGCATCTAGTTCAGTCTTTAATTTTTTTATTAGTATTATTATTAAATTTATGATAATGTGACATAATTTCAAAATAAATAGTTCAATTTATTAATTATTTATTTTATTATTATTAAATTCTAGTCAAATCCATAATTGTAAATATTCATATGAGTATAACATATTTATTTGCTGATGACAAGTCATCTCACATATCTGGAACAAATATAGTAGAAAATGAAAGATACAGAGGAAAAGAAAAATAATGAAACAGAAGTGAGGTGGGGAGGTGATCATGTTGTTTTCTTCACAGAATCACAAATGACTTCCTCTATTTACAATACGACCACACAATATCTATCATATGGAAAGGCTAACACATGAGAAGTGTAATGCCTGACAAAGCAGACGACATGGAGCTACAGAACCTTTCAGCAATTTGTGGAAAAATATGTGTATAAATGCAAGTTTAGTGTATGTGCATAATTTTAGTGGCTAATTTTTTGTCTTCATGAATTTATTCATAATGATATATTCGCAAGGTTCTTTAATTCCTTACATATTTTGGCTTAATTATTTAATAAGATGAGTGTAATTGCAAAATTATAGGTTAATACCTCATCATCAACCTTGCTCAACTCTAATGTTGTGATTGGCAATAGCTTTTTCTACTTTGCTGCAAATGATCATATCTTACCAAATTGTTTACATATTCTTTAAATGTAATATTATTTTTTCCTTGCATTCAAACATACATGATGACTACAATCCGATAGTTCCGTATGTGCTTTTAACCATGAGATTCACATGTAGAATATATGGAGTAGATAATCTACGGTTAAAAATATTAATGAAATCATTCCGTCAACGGGACTATAGTCATTCCTCAAGCATAATGTTTAGTCTTAAAGTACTTGATTAGATAGCGGAAGAGAAGGTAAATAATTGTTGACAGTAAGTTGAAACATTCCAAACCACAACCCATTATGTCTAGTCCAACTGACATGCAAATGTGCGGAGCATCAACCATTCTTATATTGTTGTCAACTAAAGTCTACCAATTTTGTTCCATACTCAAAATTAGAATTTAAAAAATGCTAGGGTTACATTAGCAGAATTCAACTTCAACAACAACAATATAGCCTTTTAGTCCTAAGCAAGTTGAGGTAGGCTAGAGATGTTTTTCATCACCATAGAACGGCTAGGTTTTACGTTGGCTCGCCAAGCCTATCACAACCCCCTAAAAAAGTAATAATACTAATTCAGACCATGAACATTTAATTAAGTCAACAAAAGCAAATTAATTAGAAAAAAAAATGTCATACAACCAGCCAAAAATAGTACTCCAACATTTGCTCATATCACTACAGAACCAAACTGAGATTTGAATCTGTACACCAAAAATTGGCCGAGCCGCGCTTTCGAAAAATTTTTACATGCCAAAGCGGTCACCATCCCCGAGTCCTGGAATTATGAAACTGAAATACAATTTAAGAAAATTCAAGAAAATAAAACCAACGGCTTTTGCTCTACCACAAGCTAAAATCAACAATAAAAAGAAACTAACGACAATTATCTGGGAAAAAGAGTAATTAGGTGCTGAAACTAAAAGGAAGAAAGGGAACACATACTCCATTCATCGTAGCCCAAATCTGCACAAATAAATCACGGGTGAAAAACAAGTTTACTTTATTTACCATCCGACAAAAAAGAAGAAAAAATCTATACCATGGCCATGGCTCTCAGATCACATAAACAAGCAAAAATATTAAATGCGAAGAGTAATGCTACAGAATCTTATAGGCAATTTCAAATCAGTACAATGGCACAATGGCTTTCAGATTACAAACAGATACTTTAGGTACAATATGAAAGCAGAGGTCTCACCACAAAACACATAAGTCATTTGTTACAATTTAATAACAGAAATTTCATAAAAACTTAGCCAGAACTACAATCAATTCCCTATAGTNGCTACATAATACCAATTACATTCACACACAAATAGAAGAGTCGTCAGCAGACTCAAACTTCCTCAGCGACAACTTATCAAGTCATAGTTAATTTCATGTTAGTCTGTATTGTATTGTTAATGCTTAACATGGTCCGCTTACAGTCCACTATTGTCTAGAATGTTTCATTAAATTTGAAGGGTCATAGTACTGCCATTATTAAATTTAACCTTGGGCAAGTAAATTAAATAGAAGAAATTGGAGATGAGCAAAAAAAAAATCTTATTTTCTCGTATGAGCCTGGAAGAGCTATCAATGTCATCAATAAGAAAACCATTTGTTCGTAGCCTAGATCATTCAAGCTCTCCCCTATCATTTGCCTGTTAAATTCAAATAATTTTTTTAAAAAAAATGAACATACATATATAAGAATTAATTAGCTAACTAGAAATTTTAGAATAATTAATATGGAACTTATCTCCTTCCTAATGTTTTTGTTAAGCTCCTTCAATTTCTGCAAGTGCGCCTGCACAATTTTTTCACCACAAAAAAAAAGGCCTGAAAATCATCAATCATATTTACTCTCTAAGAGAATATAATTACCAAACATTTATAGACACGTTAATTAATTAATTAATTATTACAAAATATAAGGAAAGAAAAAGACAACTTCATAGTGTGAGTTTCATAGATCCACCTCAACTGCCTTCTGGTATTGATAAAAAACTTGCTTTGTCCTAAAAAAACATATATCAAAAAATTATTAGAATCGTATGCATAACATTCACAATCATCTAAATCATTATGTTCCAAAATTAACAAATCATTATGTTCAAAAACCTCACGATAATGTCAAAATCATGCTAACTACAAACAAATGCTAGAAAGAGATTAACCGCATCTTCTATAAGGAAGCCTTTCAACCACTTTATGATAGTTCCTGATTCCAATGATAATTGCCTGACAGAGAATGAAAAAGGTAATGCTCCCTTGGCCAGCCCGGGGGGAGATGAAACTCTTCACCTTCTTCTTCTTTAGAAACAAATTTTGTAAGTGCAGCAGCAATAAACAAACAATTCATATAAACCATAACCCATGATAACATCAGAAAACTTGCAAAAATGCAAGTAATGTGAATGTACAAACTAACATGAGATGACCCAACCATCAAATGTGGCGGGATTGAGACCTCCTTGGATTCTTGTTTCTTGTTTGGTCTTACTTCCTTTACCACCTAACTGAACCCACATAACACGAAAATTTGTGCCACCAAGATCTAATGCATAAAACAATAGCTTTTTCGTTCCTGAACAGACACAAAGGTAAACTAAATCTAAAATAAAACAAGAAAAATCAAAATATTCGGATATTATGGCCAAATTGGAAAATGCCCAAAAACATAAAACCACAAAGAGTAGCAAAAATCTTTGTTCTATTGCGCCGATGTTTAAAGCACAGATCTGAAAACAAAATAGCCAAATTAACACGAAGCTGGTACCTAAAGTTTCTTCCACCGACCTACGTCACTGAATTTGGTCTCGCACACTGAACTGTGATTGAAAAACGCCGCTAAAAAAGTATCGACGTTCGGAAAAAATGAGGGCCAACCATTTCTCTAAACTTCGATCGAAAGCTGCACGAATGCCTTGAAAATTGTTAAACGAACAGATTGTGAATTCAAAATGTCAAAATAACCTCGATGGCGAGATTTTCAAGGACGGCTGAGATAAAAACAGGGGCGCCCATTTACCTGACTTTCTCGACCTCGGTTTTTTCGACCAGGAAGATTGAAGGCATCGCTTTGAAGGAAAGGCGTCGGGTCAGACCGCTGGGGAAGGCGACGGAGGGCAGTCGGATGCTGAATAGGCCGTCGAATGACTTGGTGTCCGGGTTGTTGCAATTTTGGCGGCGCCTCCCATGGTGGCGGCTGCGGGCGGTGGGGGCTAGGTTTACATGATTACATCACTGAAGTGATTTTTTTTTTTCCGATTGGTACCAGAGTGATTCTATTTGACACTGAAGATAGAAAAGACAAATATGAAGCAAGAATGAGCATTTTTCCCAACCACAATATTTTCTTCAACAACCCGGTTTCCCCTTTTGTTCCTTCAACATTTCAAAACAATTTAGGAAGAAACCAGAGAAATTGATCATATTGCAACTTACACTTTTCTATTGCTGGGTCAAACGGGCTCTGGCACAACGACTTCAGCTGTTCGACGCCGTTTTGCGAGCTTCGAAGTTTGGGCCATCAGAAGCTGAAGAACAGGCCGACTGTCATAACTCATATGCCTGAAGCCGCCGGTTGTCGCCGCTCACGCACATGGTCTGTGGATCTTCGCCGCTGTCACAGACTCACAGATTTTGTAGGGTTGTCAATTTAGAGGAAATTGGGTGAAATCGATAAAGAAGGTAGGTTTGGAAAGAGGGAGATACAAAATCTACTCTAGCTTAACAATTAAGTTTCGCCTTTTCACCCAATCTACGGAACTCAAATCAATCACGAAGGCACACGCAAAGCGAGCACATTTTCCGGGTACTTCTACAGACGAAGAAAGAAATGATGTCGCCATAGCCATAGGACGTGGGGCAACAGAAATAATGTTGACCAGAACAAACAACCCAAAAAAGCTAAGGGTTTGTTTGGGAGCACTTGTTCTACAAAAGTCCATCTTAAAAATGGACTTTTCATTAAGTGCATTTACATAAGTCCTTACACAATTTTCACACATGTTTGGTAATCTCATTTTAAATAAGTGCTTTAGTCACTAAATAATAATAGTTTTTTTGCCTTTATCAAAATGATATTCAAAAAATATTTTTTTATGTCATTATTTAACCATATAATGTTATATGATTATTGATTTAAAAGAAACAAAATTATGCAAAATATATTTGACCAATTCTCCCCGTGTAAGGTCATATATTACGAACATGCTTTAAAATGACAGCAAAATGAAACACCAAATAAAAATCCATTATGTAACAAATATTGGAAGAATTATAATTATATCTTAAAGTTCATCTCCAAACCAATAATGTATTAAAAAATAAATCGAAAAGTCAAAGTATAGACATAAAAGATAGTTAACATCATGTAGCACGGTACACAGAATCGGCTATAGCATCACGTAGAATGCTCATTTCCTGATTCGGTTGATCATTCACCAGTTCATTAATTTCACCATAATGATCCGCCGAGTCTATGTCTAATTCTTCATCATCGCTAACATAATCTTCATCTTCATCATAACGTTTAAATTCTTCATCTGCTATCGCCTCTTGTCTTATATAATTATGCAATGCCATCGAAGCAACGACAATTAGTCTTTGAGTTTCGAAAGGAAACTTGGCCATTTTTTTAAGAATTGGCCATCGAGACTTCCATACTCCAAAGCAACGTTCAATTACATTTCTTAGTGATGAATGAGAGTAATTGAACAATTCTTTTGGTCCACTTGCACGTTGCCCTCTTCGAAATTGACTTGAATGATACCGTGTGCCTTTGTAAGGAGCCAAAAACCCAGGCATATTGGGATATCCAGCATCGACAACATAGTATTTGCCTATTAATGAATTTTTGTCATATAAGGAGGGATAGATAGAAAGATAAAGGAGAAGGAGAGTGTACTAACCTCTGGGAGGCATTGGAAACTTCAAATTTGGCCTATGGATAGCTTCATTGAATATACGAGAATCATGAGCAGATCCTTCCCATCCTGCCCAAACAAAAGTGAATCGCATGTCAAACGAGCATACTGCCATTACATTTTGGGTGCATTCACCCTTTCTCCCACGATAAGCAAGTTGTTCATCAGTTGGTATGACTGCATCCACATGTGTTCCATCAATTGCACCGATACACCCCTATTTAATAATAGAAAAATTAGATAACTAAGCAAGTAAGAATCAATAACTTATTTAAATTTAACAGTAAAATAATTTATTATACATACATGAGGATTACCTTGAAGTGAGGCCAATATTTAGGATTGTTGCGTATGTACCTTGGTACTTCATCAAGTGACGGTGGAACAAGCATTTCCATAGAAAATTTTAAAAGGGCTCGTAGCACCGTATTGAAATGACGACTTATGGTTTCTCCTGAATGTTGAAAGCGCTCTTGTAGCATTCGATTTCTTTCGTTGTGCCCGATAGTCATTAAAAAGATAGCTAATTGTTCTTCAACGGTGACCTCTCTGCTATCTCTAAGTAAATTCCTTCCTCGAAGTTCTAATGAGAGCCTCCAAAATACATGTTTTTCCATTCTAAACAATTCATGGCACCGTATATGATGGCCATTTAAAATATCCATAACAAATCTATGGCCACGATACATTGAATCCCTACAGGGCTCCTTCACTATATGATTCGCATAATAAGAAATTATTCTACCAACCATAACACTAACTAATCCCATTGTCGCAACATCTTTTAATTCATTGTATTCATTATCCTCGTCGTTGTCCATGATCCTATAATACAAAACCAACATTAGAAAAATTCATGGTAAACAATAATTGGAATAAAATGAGAGAGATGAACAACTACTTCAGTAAAAAAAAAAAAAATAATCAACATAAGTACTATATTTTATAGTTTGAATTGCAAACATAGGCATAAACAAACTGAAAGAGAAAATGATGTCAAATGAACTATGACTTTGAAATATATTCAAGATACTTACTAAAATGCATAAACTTGACAGAATAAAAAAAATAAAAATAAAATGAAAGACAAAAAAAAGAAATTGCCTATAGAGAATTCATACTATCCCAAATTTAATCTACAAAGAATATATCTTATTAAAAGTCCTATCATATTGCGCCTTTTCATCTTGAAGCCACAAGAACCGCAGTTCGGAATCCTCGAGAGCAATAAATAAATCTCGTTGTTCCCTTTTCAAAAATAATCTGCAAGAAAACAGATCAAGCTCACTTCCTTTAGGTATGGTAGACATCTCATTTAGTATTTTAATGCATTCTTGCATTGTATTATCATATTTTGCACCCATTGCTTCAACAGTTTCACAAATACGACAAAGATACTGATCCATATTCGCAGCAGACGAGACTTTACGAGAAGGTCTAGATGGTGGAAACTCATCTCTGACTCGCTTACGGCGGCTAGCACCTGTAGCATTCCCAATGTCATTTTTCATCTCATTCGACTTGGTTACATTATTTGGTTCTTCACCTTGCACCTCAAGATCTACGTATGTTTTATTTTCTGGAGATTGACTTGCTTGAGTTTGACACGATCCAATAGAGTCATTTGGTAGAGATCCTTCCGAAGGTGCCCAAGCATTTTTTCCAGTTGCATATCCTTCTTTGAATAAGGAAGTCAGTTCATCAGAGTTATCAAGTCCTTTGTAGCGAAGCTTAAAAGCATCTGCATTAACCTATAATTTATAATATAAAAAGTCATTAGTTTATAATTCGATAAATCTGTCTAAATTTTTTAGTTTGATGAATATATAAGAATAAATAGCATACCTTCAAATATTCGTCCCACCATTCGTCAGATGCAGTTACCGTGTTTCTCATAGTATCCCAACCAAGCCCAGTATCTGAATTAACTAACTTATACCAAACTTTCCAATCTTGCTTGGTATTGTCCCAATGGTTTTTTAATTGTTTCTTGTCATAGTTCAGACCAGTTTTCTGAACAAACTCACTACAAATTTTGTTCCAACCTTCTCTAGAGAAAAAAGTTCCTACTTTACTCCCTTTGGACATTTGCTCACAACATAATTCAACAAACACTTTGTGAGTATCACCATTCCAAACAGCCTTGGGTTTCACAATTTTCTTAAATAAATTTGCATTTGGATCAAGTTCCATATCTTCATCAACAAGCATAAAAAAAATCAAATCAAATAATATGTTATATAAAGAAAACAAATTATGTTATGCAACTCAAAATAGAGTAAATAATTAACAGATGTAATAAATACATACAAACGTAGATCTGTCAACATATTTGTAAACAAACGTCTATTAACTTGTTCTTTAAACATAAAAAAAAAATAAAAAATAAAAAATAAAATCATGTTCTTTATGCTGTCGTGAGAACCAAGCAGTTGGTACTCAATTATCTAACAAATTGAGCACAGTTGGAGCAAAAATAATTGACAAGTTGCAAGCAATTCCCAAATAAAAAATGCAGACACCTCTTTTCTCAATTTACTGCATATTTCCTTGCCCAACATTATTTGATTACAAAATTGAGTACAAATTATCCAACAAATGCATTTGTGAATCAAGTATTGAAGCTATAACATACCTTTAGATCTGTCCACGCTCAGAGTATATTTGACTGAAGAAGATAGATAAAACACAGTTTTTTATAGCTGAAATAAAGATATGAGAAAATTTGTGGGGAAGGCTGAAAAAAAAAATGCGGGAATAGGTTTCAGACATAGCTAATTCCCACTTCTCCAAAATGGACTTATTAGGAAGTGACTTTTCTCAAAAGTGCATTCAATATAAATCACCAAACACCCTAAAATCATTCAGATGGGCTTTTAAGTCAAGAAGCCATTTCAAAAGTGTTTCCAAACACACACTAAATAAAGTGAAGCAATTTGGACCGGAAAAAAAAAGTGAGGCAATTTGGTCAAATCAGATGGGATGAAGGGCCTAAACGACGACATCTCGTCTGGCATCATAAATAAAACAAACAATGAAAATGCTGGGGCAGAAGTGGAAAAAAATGGCCAATGCAGGGGCATATTGGCCAGCTGAAAATTGACACTTGCCAAGCTTAGAACTGCTCACAATACCTCACAAAATAATTTCTCGAACTCCGTTCTACAGATAAATAATCCACAAGTAGAAATACAAGTAGCGAAAAAATTCAGTAACAGACGTTTAATATTTATTGCAACCTTTTCAGTTTCCCGACACTAGTTATTATAATAACATACTATACAACATTTCTTTTATAAAAGGGAACTTATAAATAAAGATAGCTACAAATCAACCCTTGAGTTTCAACTCTAGCTAAAACCCAAATTAGCAATTGAAAATAAGTCTCAGGTATTTGTAAATGGTTTGAAAAAAGTATCCCAGTTGTTGAGTGGGAAATTCATTCAGTAGAAACAAATAAAAGGATTTTTACGTAATTTGACTAAACCCAAGGCTTATAATGTAATTAACCCTAAGAAACAGATGGAGATTTACAGGAGTCAGGATGACTGCTCTGGAGGGAGGCAACCAGAATTTAGACTTAAAGAATTGCACATAAATATATCACACCTTGAACCAAATTTTGGATGTGCCCTTAAATCCAACTGCAACACAGCTACCAAAATAGCAGCATTAGTTTCTACAACTGCTAGCAAGCAAGTGCCGCAAACAGTTCATCTTACACGATATTGACTGTCAACTCACAGCAACAGCCACGATCTCATATGCTGTAACACAACATAACTGAAATAAGCTTACATATTGTCGATTGCAAAGGTCATACTTTTAAAGGCACCCATGCAACATCAAATTTAACTTCAAATNCATCCAATTCTGGAAATCAATGTGATTAGTGATTTTTTTTTAACTAATTCCTTACCGGTTATGGTATTGTCACTCAGAGTTTGTAAATCAAGGAATTCAAACAACCAACAGCATAATAAAAGCAAGCCACAGCAGCAGCCACCGCAACATCATCTAATAACAGCATCAAAAAACTGCTACATCATCTAAAAACGGCACCAAACAGCATAGCTGCTTCACGAACTAAAAAGCAGCATCAAACAGCTAACTGCATTCCTCATCTAAAAAAACCGCATCAAATAGCTGCAACATCGTCTCACCAACCGGCAACTACTCCTAAAGCACACAAACCGTAGAACGCAAAGCAAGAACTTATGGAAGATGAACAAATTACTTACATCCAAATTTAAAACACGACATGAAAACAAAAGCCATGACGACGAACTAGTCTGAAAACCTCAATCCACAAATTTAAAGTAAGTATCCATCAAAACATAGAATGATAACTGGTACAGTACAACGGAAAGGTACAGAACTTTCGAAATATTCCCAGGGGGTAAATAAGTCTTCGAAATAACCATACAGATGATGATATGTAGATCGAGTTTACTCAACGCAGATGCTGCCATATTCCGGTCCCATGTCTTCAGATTCATTCCACAACACTCCACTCCTAATCCTGTAGACAATTAATGGGAAAAGAAGGAAAACAAATGTCACAGTGAAACAAGTCCAAAAATTGAGGTGAATATATATGACAGGGAATGATCAGCCTCAGAACGTGGAGATTGGCTCCGAGAATCATAACGAGCTCGAGGGGAGACACTTCTAGGGCTGATGGTTCGTTCTTTCGGGTTACGGGCCCTCGGGCTTCCACCTCCAGATGGCAGTCATGATGATCTGACTGGAGAAGGACTCCTCTGTGGGCTAGGGCTTCGCCTCGGAGGAGGAGAACCACTGCCCATCAATATATAAATATAAAACGATGATGATGACGATGATGATAAAGTAATGTAACAAAATAAGGGCATGCTTGTTTACTAAATAATTTACTCACATTTATCTCATACTCAAAATCTAACTCAATTTTAACTCAACCCCACTATTTTTAATATTATTCATATAATTAAATAATACAAACCAATCATTCTTACAAATTACATCAACTTTAATTCAGTGTTCATCCACTCACATAATTTTAACTACCTATCATTTCCGATTATTTTCAATCATTTATCTCCTACTTTTGCATCAAATCAATATTAATCATTTTAATTTAAATATTATTTTAATACATTGTTAAAATTCCATTACTAACCATACCACATTTTTCAAAATTAACTCTAGTTAACCAAAATAACTCATTTTAATGGATTATTTGATAAACAAGCATGCCCTAAACATTTGCCATGACACTAAATAAGTACCTCTCATAAGACCGACTCCTTCTGCACCTATCACCATTGTATTTGTCTTTTCCACGTTCTCGGCGGTAATCAGGGCTTAAGCTGCGGCTTAGGCTTCAGGACCTGCTCCTGCTTCGGTAGCGGCTATGCTTGTCCCTGCCACGATGACGATCTCTCTCATATCTGTCCCTACTTCTACTTCGGCTTCTCCTCCGGTAATCTCTGTCTCTATAATCACTCCTAGACACAACTTCAATTTCAGTTTTTGCACAAAATGATTCGAAAATCATAGAAGACAAGTACAAAGTAGATATGCTAAAACTGAGCTCCAAGCAATAGAACAGGAGAGCAGAACCCCGAGCAAAGTTTCAATTTTACTCAACTGACAACAATGCAACTTTCTAAGATGGAATATATTAGATTAAAAAATTCTAAGTTCTGGGCCTTCAGGGTAGAAGCACTGCAGATACATTAAAAGAGGTACAACTGCAAATAACAACATAAACATCTGAACAATGAGATATTTCAGAGTAAAGAAGATGGCAACTGTTTGTTCTCATAGATAGAATCATAGAACACAAATATAATAGGAAAAAACATACGGAATCCTCTTTAAACTAAAGAGTACAAATTTAAATGTTCACTCGTACAGTCCTACCTTGGCCTAGGACTGCGGCTTCTTGACCTTCCTTTGGACCTGTAAACAGGCTCCTCAATTCTTCCTTTGACTCCGGTTGCAGAAAACCACACATGATCATTAACAGGAATTCCAAACATCATAGGATTTCCGAAAGAAACTAATAAGAATAATAATAATCACCACATCATATCTAATAACATTAGTATGACAATCTATATATATATAATTACTAGCTCAAAACATTTAATAAAACCTATTTAATTTTACCTATGTGGCAATTTAACAATTTTCCCTCCAAAAACCGTTACATTTTGATGTATTTAATCTTTCATTTAATCATTAAATAATTAATACTCATCACTTCAAAATTTCAAAAATTATTTTAAATTTTTTATTAATGACAGTTGACCATATAATGTGTTGACCGTATAATATGATTAGATGTTATTATTGTTGTTACATTTAATTTTTTTTTTTTGAAAATAAAAAATATATTTGAAATTCTTAAACAAATAATAAAAAATTCACAAATAAAAGACGTATCAAAATATACATTACATCCAATCCGATAAACGCAATTTAAAAAAAAAATATTCCAACTCTTTTAATTGTAAATTTGGTCTGCAAAAAAGTGAAAGAAAAATAATTAATCATTATATGCATACAGACTCACAATAATTTATTTATATCTGTGCATTTGCACAGGTTGAATACTAGTATTATTTCATGATGCATTTAATCATGAAGCAAATAACCACATGAATCCACAACGAAATTCCAATTAACGAGAAAACTAGTTATATATATTTCAAACTTTGCCACAGAACTACCAGTTGTAAACTATCAGGCAGCACGATAAACCAACTAACATTCGCGCAGCATTGAGACCATATTTAGCAAACTGAACCATTATTTCTCTACCATCAACCACTTTCCCTGCATGAGATATAAAATAAAATCTTCACGACACAAAGAAGTGTGACTAATAACCAAAAGCAATCATTATTTTCATTCATTCTCACCGTCAAGCTTCTCAACAGCCTTTTGAGCCTCATCTTGATACTTATATCGCACAAATGCAAATCCCCTCGAATCTCCAGTCCTATATCAAAAGAATCACGCAGAGGACCTTAGCTACTAGCTATGTACAAGCACAGGTAACCAATGAGTGAGCATGCACTTGCGAAAAAAGTAGGAGAAAAGTAGAAATGCCAGATAAAGTATTTTCCATAAAATGTAAAACCCTACAGTACCCAATTTTCACACTAGTGAAAATTCAACTACAAGCAACCAGTATACCTTCGGTCCCTTGGGATAAACACATCCATCACTTTCCCGTACTTATCGAACAGTGGGAACAAGTCGTCGGCAGTCGTACCAGAAAAAAAAAAATACTCATGACAAACCCACCTACGAAATAGAAGAAATCGCGGGAAATAAAAAACAAAAAAAGGAAGAGCGAAGTGCATACGGAAAGTAATGTTGAGGACGAGGAGAGAGAAGGTGTCTTTGATGTCCGGCGGTCCAGATCTACCGAAGTGCGACATTCCCCTCCGGCGTGCGAAGAGAGAGAAACTAGGTTTTGAGTCTTGAGATTTGGGGACCTTACTAGTACATTACCCGTATTATTTCTGACATTTTTAAAAGACAAATTTGTATTCAAATTCAAATTATATAATAGATCAACGACCATGATAATAATTAAACCTAATAAATACTTAAAATAGGATATGTGCAATTATTTATATTAATTATTTCGGACTTGTAAAATAGGAATTCATTTGAAAATTGTGGACTTTCACATAATTTTTAAACATTGAGTTGGCTAAAATCTAGCCCATTTAAAATAAAAACAAAGTCAATGCATTTACAATGTTGGCTTTGAAAGTTCATATCGGCTTAAACAAAACAAAAAAAATAATCCAACGATCCAAATTAGTCAATGCAAATCGACAACTTAGATTACACTTAACATCGTATAAATAGCGAAATTATCGGACCTATTTCTTTCTTCATTTTTCGCTGCTTCCAGCTTCTTCTTTCGTCTTTTTTCATCAATCTTCTTCTAACTTTTGCGATTTTAACACTGAGGGTTTTAGACATACATCTTTTTTTTTTCATTGAATCGATGCTTTAAATTAGTTGTTTTAGGTATTTTGCACAAAAGAAAAAAAAAAGTTTGAGGTCCATTCTGCTGGATCAATAGTTAAGAATCATCTGATACTATAGCGTGTTATCATACATGAGAAACAACATATTATGCAATATCTACTTCTTAGTGAGAAATATATGTGGAAAACAACATATAAAAAAATTTAGATTATTTATTAGATAAAAATTGTTCTTACTTTTTAGTTACATAAATATGGAAATGAATCAATTTGTTTAACTGTGGTAATTATGCAATTTCTACTTCTTAGTGAGAAATATACATGAGAAACACCATATTAAAATTTGAAATAAAACTCTCAGTTAGTATATAAACAATCAATGAATTTTATGATAGAAGATTTTAATCGTGAATTTTATGATAGAAGAAGGTATTATCTAAAAATATTAGGTTTGATCAAAATATCAATTACCAATTTAAAACATTAGTATGGTAAAAAATTTCTAATTACAATTTGTAAATATTATAATAGAAGATATTATTACATTGCATTTGAATTTTAAAAAAAAAAATCAATTAACCGATTTACGATTGTTAATGAACAAAATATAATGGAAAGAATCCGAACTTTAAAAAGTGTTGTAGTTAGATAAATTTCAACAACCAATTGCCTGTGGGATATGATAGAACTGAAAAATTTTATCTATTGCATTCGTAGGATTTTCAAAAAATAAAAAATAAATCAAATAAAATTACCACGCTAAGAAACTTAAAAATTTTAAGTTGAAATTTAGTTTCTACTATAGTTTGTCCTTTAAATATTGATAGATTAACCGATTTATAAAATACAAAAAATTATATATTATTGATCTGATGAGTCTCCACAACCAAGCAATAACATCTAAAGACAATGATATATAATAAAAGTTAATTAATATACATTGTCATAAGATATAAAATACAAAATAATATATAAACCATATTTAATATAATATCAACAAAATAATCAATATATTATTAAAAAAAAAAAAATTGAATATTGCATACCAAACAACATCGATTCATCAACAATATCATATCAATCTCCTAAAATCAAAACCATAAAAAAGCACCATTGTACTTATTCTTCTTAGGCTTCTGAGGCTGCCCGTAAGACCCCTGTGGCGGGTAACCCCCGTACCCATACCCACCGCCCAGGGTCTCTTCCTCCCATTCCCCGCTCCAAATGGCTTGAAAAACAAAGTCAAGCAACAATTGTTCATTTTCCAATACCGAAACACACAAATTCTAAAACCTAGACACCATGAATTTTCACCAGTTGAATATTCAAAACATTACGACTTACTAAATTGGCTTTAAGCCAGCAAGAGCAGCCTCCAAACGCTTGCAGCAGTCAAGAACCATCATCCTTGATTGAACCAACACATTTTCGTGAAAAATATACATCAGGACAGAAGTTTTACCATTCAAATAAAGAAAAAGCAAAGCATATATCAGATAACTCCAAGAAATAGCGCCCCATGGACTTGAAAACCATCCAATTACATCTCTAGAAAATAGTTGTAGAATATAAGACAAAAAGTTAAAGAATGAACACAGTTTCATTTGATCAAGCAGCCCAAAAAATTACATCAATATACTAAGTACATTCGTGTTACCTCAATTTGATTACATGATAGCTTCCATTAAAAGCTCCTCCCAACAGTAATTTATGGACATTTAATAACCTTAACTATCCGCATAGGTAGTCGCGTCCTTGACAACCAATGCATCTCCCTAACCATCAAGCCTCCGAACAACCGACAACCCGTCACATGCAACTGAATTATGGGTGTGAACACTGCCAGCCGGTTATGAAACTGCTGAAACAATAATTCTGTTAAAATCCACAGTAGTAACTTAAAGAAAAAAATACTGCTGAACTAAAACTAATATATCAATCACCTAGGGATTAAAGATATTGGCATCTATCTTGTCCCCACTGTGTCTAAGTGATAATAAATTTCATATATTTACTTTGGCCCATGAAAAAAACTTTATGAAGCCTTTGACCTTGACACTGCAAATTCAACGGCACATTGAAGATCTTGTGGTGTATCCATATTGTTGCTCCATCTCCCAACTTAGCTTTAATGCAGTCTCATATGATTCTGTAACATAATCCTACAATTATAAGGCTTACGATGTTTTAAAATTATTTAAAGAAGAACGTGATAATTAAAATAGAAAGTAATTAGTTTTAAAGAATTACAAATCTATTGAATGAAAGCATGTTGTACCTCGAACTTGGACATTTGTTCATGAGCAGTTGGGGCAGATAAAACGATGTGATAGGCAGAATCTTTCCGTGGGTGTGAATACCGCTAGCCGCCGCTTATTTTTCCAGTCCATGCAGCAGAATATCTCCCAAGCACTGCTTGAGCTATGAACATGACGCACCCCTTTTTCATCTGCAGCAACGAACGGGCTCATGACGGGAGATATATACAGTTCGCCAGAAAACTATTTATGTGTCGTATAGTGTTAGAATCTAGTTTTCATAGATGGGCGGAGGACATGTTCTCAACAACAGCTCTCGGATGCCTCAATTATTCAACAAAACATGAGCATGAGTTATATAAAACATAACATACATCATCCAGAACAAAAACTCTCCAGCATAACTCAAATTCGGATAAGCAACATAACTGGTTGTTTTGGTACAAAAATGTGAAAGAAAGAGAAAGATTTAACCTGTTCAGACACGGATCATACTGATAAACATCTGCCCAGATAGAACCAGTCCCGTAAAAGACAGAATATCCAGCAATGACCAAAAGCTTCGATTGAGAGCAACAACACTAATATCCAAAACCCAACTTCGCCCATATCGGTTAAGGTCCTAACCACAATTGTCCCTTCATAATCGCTAAATTACCAGTTAAAACACATTTACATGCTAAGAAGCCCTTACTATTTACCAAGTTCATAACCATAACCAAGAACTAAACAATAATCGCAACCAACCAGATACAATGTAACAGAACTTTCTCAAATCCTAAATCCAAAAATACAGAAACATTGACATTTGTAAGGTTACTATCCCAAAATCCAGAAATATTGACATTTGTAAGGTTACCTGAAATGGGATAAAGGCCATGACAGATTCTCCAATTTCACCATGAATCATCGAGTCGCCCCTTTTTCGCACCAAAACTCTTCATCCAATTTATGCCTAAACCCATCCTTATTTACATCCTGCACGAACAATATCGACGCAATTTTTTTACCATATCCACAAGGACCATAGAAACACGCACAAAGCACAGACAAAATGCGTAAAATTAAGGCATGTGAAGAGAAAGAATGAATATTTACGTAGGATACAATGATAGATCCAAACATCCATTCAAGAGGAAAACAGAAATACAGGAAGAAGACAATGGGGGGCCCGACCCGCCTTCAAGTGGAACCGAGCTATGATGTGTTCGCAGAAAACCTTCAAAATCAGTACTTAAAGAAATGTTTCGTTTTATGTTTTTATGCATTTGTAAATACAATAATATCAAGTGATTAAGCAAAAAGGGATAAAGAAAAGGAAGAAAACAGAGTAAGACTTTCTAAGAGTCTAGAAGTTAGCAGAAGCCAAGAAAAAAAAAATCATATTTAATAAATCTAAATAAACATAGTATTTTACAAAATATTGACTAAAATTTTTGAAAGCCAACAGAAAGGTTAGATAAAAGGTGAGGTTGGTTAGCAATATCATCCCAGAAAGGGACTGAAAAAGATACTGTAAAATTGAAGGCCCCAATCCAAGAATTCAACACGGAGGTAAAGAAGAAAACTAACTGATTAAACAAATTGCATTTGGTATGGCTTATGTTTACTTTATTCAAATATTATTATAAGTAAAAAGGGCTTATTTGTTATTTATTTTTTTAATAATCACATTACAGACATTATAAGACATACCTCTCGGTGCATGAGAGCCTTGGGAATGACTCTGCATCAGGGGGCAATAATTGACAAAAAATATAAAAATATTTTTTTAGTGAATAGTTCAAGTAAATTAATAAATACTAATTAACCACATACAAAGCATACTTTTTTATTTTTTATTTTATCTTTTCTACAATAATAATCAAAAAGGAAAAAGAAAAAAGAGAGAGCTTACCCAATAACATGGCGACCACCATTATGAACATCTTGTGAAATCAAACCCATCAAGCCTATGCTGCCTCCTCCATATACCAAATCAATAGTTTTAGAAACCTTCATGAAATCATCGGAAAAAAAAAGATAGAAAAAATTTAATATTTAAGTCCAACAACCCAAGCAAAATGAACCTACTTCAGCCCCAGCGCCGCCGACACCGACCTCGGCTCATCCACCGTGATGAACCTGCCTCGTCTCGATCCAAAACCCTAAACCCCTCCCGCACTTCCTCTTCAATGTCGTCCCCCTCGTTGCCTCCCCCGTCTGCCATCACCACCGCATATGCAAAGAAAACTGTAATAGTAAAACTGTAATACCTCACATTTAATTTGTCATCTGATGATGGCCACAAGGTGCAGAGAAAAGGGATATCTATTTTACGGAGGATGACTTGAATCTTTTCACTCCTGGAAAAAGAAAAGAAAAAACACCAACAGATTTTAATCAACAACAGGAGATCAAACAAAACGAAAACAAAGAAGAAAGAAAAAGACTTATACCTCTTATCATCAGCCTCACTCATCGGAAAATGCTTTCCCCAACAATAAGAGTATCCAAAGCGTCAGCAAATTTCACATGCTTCTCAATCCCTATGACCTTCTCAGAATGATTCTGGACATCCCAGAGTAAAATCGTGCGGTTTATAAGAAATCACAAGCAGCCGCGTATCCTCCTTGATTAGGCTCAGCCCCATGGGTGTGATCAGCCTCACCCTTTCCGGCTTCAACGCTCCATAGTCCTTCAAAACCCAAGCTCTGCACATATCTTCATCTCGAACCACGGCCAAGCACCCTCCAAAAACCTCGGAACGTGAGTTATACGGGTTACAATTATACGGCAAGGGCAGCTTGCGGAACTTCTCGGTGGCCAGATCCAGCGCAATTACCTCGCCCGCTTTCTCCGTGAACCAGTGTTGGGCCCTGTTGTGCACTCGAGTTCCACAGGCACAGGCGGGACGGGCACTTCTTCTCTATCCTCTTTCAAAAGTTAGATCTGAGGCTTTAGATGTAAGTCCGATACACGAATTTCTTTTCCTTACGGATACTAACCACTTTGTAGTCATCCCCGTGGGCGTCAATCGTCCCGATCATCGCCTACAGCGTCTCCTCCGGCACGCAGACCCCAAGATTTTCTAGCGACTCACTGAGCTCCTCCCGACTGATGTTGTCGTCGCCGTTCATCGAGTATGCAGAAGACACTATGGAGATCCGTCGTGCCCCTGACCTAATTGGATTTGATTGGGTTTGATTTCGATGGGTCAATTTAGGTTTTCACCCAATAATTTTGGAAGAGATGGCAAGAAATATGGATTTTGATTTTGATCCGTCTTTTTTAAGTTTTCACCCAATAATAAGAGATTTTAGATAATCTGAGATATACGTATGCCAAAATAAATTTGTTGGAAGATATTTTGGATAATCTGGGATGTATATATGGCAAGATAAATATCCAGACAATATTTTCTTTAAATATATATCAAATTTAAATCGATATAGATATGTTCCGTCAATATTTTCTTTAAATATATGGAATTTAAAGATTTGATTGAAATTTTTCCAAATATTCTAGGGCGGGATTTTAAAAAAATTTCAAAAATTGTTACTTAGTTTAGGAATTCTGAAATTTTTAGGCGGGAAAATAGTTACTTTTTCAGGTAAATGTCAAACTTTTTTATATTATTATAGATATAAATTTACATTAATGAATTTTATCATTCCAAAAAAAAAAGGGCCCGAAATATGGCAACAAAATTCGCCCAACTATACCACTTATTTCTTCGTCGCTTATAATAATATATTAGTACGCTACCCACGCGTTGCACGAGTTAATATTAAAAATGATGTGAATGAATAATAATTTAATAAAAAAATATTTTAGAAAACATTTATTGATATAACAAAGACTAAATTTTTTACTAATCCAATAAATATACTTCCACAAATATAACATTAATATAGCATTAATTGTAGATGAGTTGAGTTCATTATCACCAACAATAATAACAATAATTAGACAACATGGATTCGTGACTATAGAAACAATAACAACGTATAATTGTTGTAACTAAAAAATTCAATATATTTTTTTCTTAAAATTTTAAAAATTAAATTCATTAATGATATACTATAAAAAAATTATTTGTCACATTAATGACACTCCTTCATAATTTTTCATAAAAATGTCTACATGATAACATAATTCCATAGGTACAAAAAGATAAAGTCATAATTACTATTCTACAAATAAAGTAATATATTAATAATTAAAGTTAACATGTTACGAAGATGAGTAAATCAAAATTTATAAATATAAATTAAATACTTAATAAAAAATAAAAATAACTTCTATTCGCATGTATTTAATTTTAAATTAGGTCCACATATTTTTCATTTTTTTATTAACAAAATAAGTATCAACATTTCAATTTTTTTTGCAAAATAAGTGTGATGGTGATTAGAGAATGACATGGAAGATTGATCATTTTTTCGTAAAGTTATAAATAGGCCAAGTAGTTGCACAAATCAGTATGAATTACAATTCAATGTAATTTTTAGAAACGCACATTGACAAAATTTTTGTAAAGTAATAAGAAAAAGACATTTAAATTATATTATATAATATTAAAATAAAACATTCTTGTGAAATTAACATTGTGATAGATGATAAGGCGAAAGTAGTTAATGCATTATAATAAGTTTTGTTTAACTTTATCTACTACAACATTCAGTTGCGATAATATGCTTCTATTAAGAAAAATTAAACGGTAACTGACACATTATGCTATTTTTATTTATAAACAACATTATTGTGTATTTTTTTAAAAAAAATAAGGGAGGTCAATTTTCACCAACTTTTACATAACCTCAAATTTAAGCTCAAATAAAATAGATGAAACAAATAATTATCGAATCAAAATATTCAATCAATAGAATCATTTCGTCTTCATAGTCAAAACTATAATTTCACTTTTTATCTTTCTTCTTGTTGTTGAAATTCTCACTCTTTCTGTTATCATTTTCTAAATTTTTTCATTTCACATTATTCTTATATTGCTTACCCATAAACGAGGAGAGAGAAGGTGTCTTTGATGTCCGGCGGTCCAGATCTACCGAAGTGCGACATTCCCCTCCGGCGTGCGAAGAGAGAGAAACTAGGTTTTGAGTCTTGAGATTTGGGGACCTTATAATTATGTATTTACATTAATGAATTTTATCATTCCAAAAAAAAAAGGGCCCGAAATATGGCAACNATACCATTTATTTCTTCGTCGCTTATAATAATATATACTAAAATTGCGGAATATGTTTAAGTGATGATAATACAATACAAATTTGATAAAATCGTGCTCCTCATGGAAACAACTTTACACATCACAATGTTCATACTTTCCCTTAGTCATACATTATGACAGAAACAGTGTCTTAAACTCACTTTCGAGCCAATGCTACCAAGAGTTCGTCTCAAACCCATACGATACAACGCAGAACAAACTATTCCATCCTCATCCACCAATCCAACTACTCAACAAACCCGCTCCTAAAAGATCGAAATACCCAATCCCCATTGCAAGAACTCGACTTTCACAACAATCTACGAGATATATGCTCGCGAGAATGAAAGAAAATTCAGTCCAGCCAAGTGATCGACAAAATGCTAGAAAGGCTCAAGCTTCCTCTAAAAACTGCCAAGACAGTCCACTCCCAGAGCTTAAAACTTGGCCTTTCAGCGCATGGCAACTTGCAGAACTCCATATTAGATTTATATGCAAAATGCGAGTGTTGATGATCAGAATCGGTTAACGGTTAATAAAATATTTAAGACTGATAAAACAAATAAAGAAATAGAAATTTATGAAATAAACGGGCTTTTATTACTTAATTATGAGTTCGACGTTTTAATTGAAGTCGGATCTTTCGTTATACTTGAAAATAGTTACAAACTTAATACAAAGTAAATGTAGAGAGAGAGAGAGAGAGTTGATAGAGAGATCAACAACCCTCAATAAATGAGGGTAAACTCCTATCTATAGTAACATGAGTATGGCACTGTTTATCCAATGTGCGCCTTGTCATTTTGAATAGTAACTCGGAATAACAGCTCGGCGGCGCTCTGACAAGCATTAAATGAGATCTGAGGTTTTTCTCAATGATTATCTGTCAGGTAATAAATGCACACATGTGTAGCATTTAATGCACATGTGTAGCATTTAATGCTGACAGGCCGCTCTGCTGGCGTAGATGCTCTAGGGTGGCAGACCAGGGTGGCATGCCCATCAACAATCATCACTTGACAAGCGGCAATATTATATGATCTCCAGGTCCTGTGTGCGGGCCAAAACCGGCCTTTACGAATCTTTAGGTTGGACCTTCACTCGGACTTGAATCATTTTCCTCTTCTCGTCTTCAGGATCTTCATTTCTCGGTTTGGCGCTTGAACGAGGTCGACCTTGTCCCCCGGGCGCCCTAGGTGCCGTTCTCATAAACTGTTTCGTACGTTATTCCTATTAACCTTATCTTCCTTCGATCTCGACATCTGTATAATTCGGGTGTCGACCCTCATCATCGCTTTGATTACTATTCTCAGACCGTTGGTCCTGCATGGCTCAACTTGGATATCAACATACAGGCCCCCGAGCTCGGATGGGAGGTCTTCGACATCTCTTCTGAGATCATCACCCCATGACTTGGTCCGAGTTGGCTGATTTGAGTTTTGATTGATTTTTTTTGGATTGAATTGGTAAACAATCACCCCTTTAGTGTATTTATATGCTACAATAGGGACCCAAAAGAGGTGCTAAATATGGGTTTATTCCATTAGGCTTAGGAATCCTAATCATGCTCCATATCTTTTCCATCTAGAAGTCGTATTCCTTCTAACCTCAATCACCCTTCTAGAAGACTCTATAGTCTCCTAAACCGTAGGGAAATTAATCCAGAAGGAATATTCATCTCCTAATAGAATCTAAATTATGGAATATAATTAATTCTTAATTTTTTAAATAGAATTAAATAATAAAATATTCCACTAGAGTAATATTATTGCTCTCTACATTTAGTTTCGAATTATAACTAATCCGTCTCCAATAAGTAAATTAATATTAATTTAATTGATCGATTTATCTCCCTATGTTTAGAAGATATAACGTCCATTGATTAATTAAATTACTGACAAAATAATTAATCAACTTCTTATCCATTTCCGAAACTAGTACCACTCAGATCATTAATCATTATGTTGGATACTCTTCCGCCTGCAGGACTTGATATAATATTCCTTCTTGAGCTTATTTCGGGGACGTCATCAACCCGGCGAACTGGGACATAGTGACAGTAAATAATTTATAACATCACATCATATAAACACACTCATTTACCAAAATACCGAGTATGTCATCCTAACAGAATAGGAATCACCCTTGGTAAATCAAGTAAATAAGTAATGAATATATATGCCCGTTTTATATTATCTTATTGCTTAAGAGCACACATTAATTATTGAAGGTCTAGATTATAACTGCGATAAGTAAAACTATAATCTTATCCTGTTCAATACTTCAGTCAAAGATCAACTGAATCAAGACTACACTATAGTCTTTTTCCAACAGAGGTCTCACTGCATGTCTAGACTGTGAACAATAACCGATAATAAATGTTGCGATAATCTTCTAATATACCAAAACAACAAAAAACATTAGATTCCTCCTTTGTCAATTTCGTTTTCAATAAAAAAAATCTTCTAATATACCAAACAACTTCTAAAATTGATAAAAAAGGAAGTGACAAAAAAAAATCAAAAACACAATTTTTCCTTATTTTTTCTTATAGTAATATATTCTCATCAAAATAGAAAGGAAAAAGAAAAGGGGGGAATACACTATTTTTCATGAAAATTTCCCCCCAAGGGCTAGTTAGCCCTAATTTATTCCTAACCAACCATTTCAGAAACCAACACAATTGGAAGCCCTATAGAATCCTACTCCAACGCAATCGGACCACCGCAATCCGAATTGGAACACTCCTGCTTTTGGTGGTGCCATGTTATCCAGTCTCCTTGGATACGGCCGCCATTTCTGCACAGCGCCAAATGCACGCTCGCCTGAGTACAGTAGGTAATTGTGGCTTTTCGGTATAAGCCGTCAGAAGCGTGAGAAAATTCGATGGTTGCAATTTCTCCAAAGGCGGAGAAATGTGCGTTTGTCGCCCCCATGTCACCGCAAACTTTGCCGCCAGCGTTGAGGTGAGCAATGATGATGGGAGGATCTGTGTTGCCTGATCCTTGCCCTCCTGGCTGCCTGGGGATCGAAGGACCACGTGGCGAGCCGCCGCCGCGGCCGCCGCCGNCAAACAATTCCTAAAATTGATAAAAAAGGAAGTGACAAAAAAAAAATCAAAAACACAATTTTTCCCCAACTTTATATTGGAAAGGGGGAATACACAATTTTTCATGAAAAGAAAAGAAAGGAAAAAGAAAAGGGGGGAATACACTAATTTTCATGAAAATTTCCCCCCTAACTATGAGCCCAATTTATTCCTAACCAACCCGTCCAGAACAGCCAACACAATTGGAAGCCCTATAGAATCCCTACAGCAACGCAATCGGACCACTGCTGCTCCCTACGCAATCGGACCACTGCTGCTCCCTACGCAATCGGAATTCGAACACCTCTGCTTTTGGTGATGCCATGTTATGGAGTCTCCTCGGATACGTCCGCTCTTTCTGCGGAGGGACAAACGCATGCCTGCCTGAGTACAGTAGGTAATTGTGGCTTTTCGGTATAAGCCGTCAGAAGAAGCGTGAGAAAATTTGATACTTAAAATCTCTCCAAATGCTGAGAAGTGCGTGTTTGTCGCCTCTATGTCACCGCAAATTTTGCCGCCAGCGTTGAGGTGAGCAATGATAATAGGAGGATCTGTGTTGCCTGATCCTGGCCGCCTGGGGATCGAAGGACCACGTGGCGGGCCGCCGCCGCCGCCGCCGCCACCTTGCTGAGCGACAACTGTATTAAGCAATGAACTCTGAAATTGCGGCTGCGAGACGCCGTGAGCCTGAGAAGAAGAATCCGTGGCCGAAGGACCCACAAAAGAACAGAACGGACGCATGCGGCGCGGATCCTCAGGAGGATTCTCAACCTCAACCATTGGACGCTTTCCCTTGTCGGTAGGGCCAACTGCCTTTGACCCGCCGGTGTCTTGATTCTGGAATCCGGCGTTTGACTGCAGATGCGGCGAGAATCCGGGGGGGTCGCCAAGAAATTGGCTCTGGAATCCGGCGTTTGACTGCAGATGCGTCGAAATCGGGTTATGGAATCCGGCGGTGTTGCCAAGAAATCTGCTCTGGAATCCAGCGGTTGACTGCAGATGCGCCGAAATCGGGTACTGGAATCCGGCGGGGTTGCCAAGAAACGAAGGACCCTCCAAAGAACGCGAGTCGCCGCCTTGCTGAACAGCAGAGTAAGAAAGTGGTGGCGGATGGGGAAAACTCTGCAACCCTCGAATTTGGGGAATCAGCGACGACGAAGTGGGATTCTGGTATCCGCCCAATCCGCCGTGGAGACCGTTGACAAATTGATTGTTGTGGCCGTCTGCAAGATGCAGCAGACCAGCCCAATCTGCATCTGTCAGAGGCGAATTGGGATTATGAATCAGCGACAGCGGAATGGGATTCTGGAATCCGTCCAATCCGCCGTGGAGACCGTCTTGATTGTTGGCTGACTGCGACATGAGGGCACTGGCGTTCTGTAATTCGCCCGCAGAGCCAGGGTTGACAGCCGCGGCGGAGACTTGATTTGGAGCCGAAGCGGCGGCAAGGGCAGGGTTGGCGTAAGCGGCTTCAGGGTTGGGAGGGGCAGCGATGGCAGGGTTGGCGTAAGCGGCTTCAGGGTTGGGAGGGGCGGCGATGGCGGGGGCGTTGTAGGGAAGATTTTCCATAACTGTTCTGAAATTAAAATCTTTACTTTGCACGATTTTGTTGAGAGATTTTGGAATTTCTTCTTGTACTATTAAGTGATAATACGTTTGGGGGCGGTTTGTTCTTTCAAATTTGACCTAAATTTTCGTTGAACGTTTAATTTAAATATTTTTCTCTTTAATTCGTTTTTAATTAATCTTTTTCTCTTTCTTTAAACTAGTATTGACCCGTGCGATGCACGGGTTGGTATATTTTCTTGAAACTTTTTAAATATTAACATTAAATGTAATGCATAGATATGTAACAAATATAAAATAGAAAAAGGGTTAATTGCTTTAAAAATCACAACTTTTAGTTAAATTGCAAATAAAACTCAAGGTTTTCATTTTAGCACCAAAAATACCAACCTTGTTTAAATTTTGCAATTGTGTCTCGAACAGATATTCCGGCCAGTACGCAATAACGTGGCGGATCGAAAAAATGACATGGAACACAAATGCAATACTTCCTGCCATGTCATCAGACACCTATTTTTACACATCACACATTACCCACGTCACCCTCCACGTCATCAACCACCTCATTGACACATCACCTAATTTGACACGTCAACGCCATTCCAATCGATTTTATTGGGCCCATTTTCTTCATCCCAGCCCTAATCAATCGAATTCATCCCCTCGGTGTCTGTGACCTCCTCGTCGACAGAGTAATCGGATCCGGCGGCGGGCTGAGCTCCGGAGACCAGAGAACTCAACTCCCGGAGCACCTGCTTCTTGTGCTCCTGCTCGGAGGGAGATGACACCCTTCTACGGCCGAATCTATTCTCCTCGCCCTTGTAGTAGCCGTCGCCCCAGCCCAACAGCGCGGGCCCGCCGTAATCAATGACCGAGGACTGCCAAAAGATGGCGTAGGTCCAGCTCTCGCGGGCGCCCTCGATCAAAGTGAGGAGGTGCCGCTGGAGGGTTTCCTGGCTGAAGAATGTCGGCTGCGTCTGGTGGTGGTCTCCGCCGGCGGAGGAGGAGGGCCAGAGGGAGGCTAGATTGGAAGCGGACGACGAAATGAAGGCGTCGGCCATGGAAGCTCCGACATCCGTTGCGGCAGGGACGGCGGCCGGCCAGATATAATTCATGTTCGCAGGAGGTTGTGAGGACGTGGGAAGAAGATAATCTAGTATCATTGCAGAGAAGAAATAACAAGTTTATCCTAATTTTTATAATAAGAGTGTTGGGATGAAATTAGGGCTGGGATGAAGAATGGGAAAAGGGGATGAATTTGCGCCGGCCACAGGGAAGGAGATGAGAGAGAATGAGAAAAGGGGATCGATTGAAATTAGGGTTGGGATGAAGAAAATGGGGATGATGACGTGGAGTTGATTTTTTTTATAAGAGTGCCACACAATCAAGTCCGGTGCCACATCATTTTTCCGGTTTGCCACGTCATTGCATACTGGCCGAAATATCTATTCGAGATACAATTGCAAAATGTAAAAAAGGTTGATATTTTTTGTGCTAAAATGAAAACCTTGAGTTCCATTTGCAATTTTATTAAAGGTTGTGATTTTTAAGGCAATTAACCCATAGAAAAAAAACAAATTAAAAATTTCATAAATTAGTAAACACTTCTTTGTATACAACGTTTTGGGTCGATTAGGCGACACGTCATCGTCATTACAAACTATGACGATGCTTTCCGATCCAATAATATTGGAACTAGTCGACCTTTTTTCACAAAACGTTTGCTGACCTAATTATATAAATAAAAACATAAGAGTAAACATTAAAATATCAGAATAGAAGGTGAGAATATCTTAACATATATATATATATATATATAATGTAATACCATTTGTAATATCAGAGAACGACATATGATTTGAAGCCTTTGATGAACTGCCCGATCCAATAGTCAACTGACGTTTAGTAACAGTTGATCCCACGCAAATATATGAATTTATAGTCCCTAGTCAAAATAACATCATTGCAATATTATTTTCAATTTATTTGTAAACTCGATATTTTAAAAAGTATATAATTAATAATAGAATATTTAAATATTCTGGATCAACAAAGTAGTCAACATATATAAATTGTACAAAGTATCCAAAGTTGTTAAATTATATGTAAGAGAGAGATGTGCATACCAGTTGATATAAATAAATAATACCGAAAGAGAAGGGAAAAGAGATACCAACTGCAATTCACAAAGGCATCCCTAGGCTCAACCAACCCACTGGTAAGAGGCGTTTCTTATTTTCTTTCATAAAATTTGAATCCCTTGATGATCAAATTCGATTATTCTCGTTGCTATTATTATTGGATTTGTGTGCATAAGTTGGGGTAATCGAATATCTGCAGAGTAGGGCATTAGAAATAACAATGGATTTGAGGGAGGAAGAGCTTGACATGATGATCAACTGGGACGTTAGCTCGTTGGAACTATTCGAACAACCTCATGAAACGGCGATGAACAACTCGGACTCTACCTCTTCCGGACAATCAGGGTTTCAACATCACGAACCCACTGCAATCCAAACGCCTCCACTTCAAACGGTACCTTCTCGTGTTTTGACGGATGCCGAATTTGAACCTCAAATCCAAATTCCTTCACTTGAAACGGGAACATCTCGTGCTTCAGCAGCAGCCAGCTTGACCAACTTATCGGGACCAATCGAGCCCACAGCCACAGGGTCTCAACTGATGGGAATGGCTGACTCAAGCTTTAGCTCAATTGGACGATTGGAACTGCCTGGAGCAATTGTGGTACGGATGCCTCGAATAAATACAAGACACGTACTGACGGAGGCCGACTTCGCAGGCTTAAATGTCTCAGAGTCTCAACTTATGGGAATGGCTGACTCGAGCTTTAGCTCAATTGGACGATTGGATGGAGCAATTGTGGTACGGATGCCTCGAATACATACAAGACACGTACTGACGGAGGCCGACTTCGCAGGCTTAAATGTCTCACCAATACTCAGCTTAGGCTCCCGCTTACGACGTCGCCGACATGACGGCCTGCAAGAGGATAGAATTTCGAAATACCTCAAGATCATTACGAATAATAATATCGTTGATGAAAAAACGGTGTGTGCTATTTGTCTAGACAATTTTTGTGGAAAGGATATGCAGGTTGCAATAGTGGATGGGTGTGGGCATAAGTTTCACGCTTGCTGTCTCAAGAGGTGGCTCCGAAGGAAAAACATTTGTCCTCTCTGTAGAAGGATTGCCATTAACGTGCCAGAAGATTTTTTATGTTTTGTTTAAATCATGTATCTATTAAAATCTTCCAAAAAATATTATAATAAAATATTTATTTGTTTGTCTATTAAATCATGTATCTATTAAAATCTTCCAAAAAATATTATAATAAAATATTTATTTGTTTGTCTATTAAATCATGTATCTATTAAAATCTCCAAAGAAAGTGCCTGATTTTCTTTTGGATTTTTATGTCATGATGATTATGAGTATTGGTTTGAGTTACATGTTCCTGATTGTTAATATGTATCTGCTTTGATTTGTACTTCTTGTTTTTTCTTGAGTGTGTGTGCATACGTTTGTTCATGATTGGAGTGTTGATCTTATGACTTCTCCTTGTTCATCTCATCCTGTGCCACTGAGTCTGTGTGGGGCGATGTCTTAGTAAAGGGAAAGGTTTTGGTGACGGGGCTCGATTTGTTGGTATTCACAGCAATTACTCTCTGCGTTTGTCTATGTGTCATGTTCTGCAACCTTGAACATTGTGTAGATCTTGGCTTAAACTAATCAGTATTTTTCTGTACAATGTGGACTTGTGGGGTATAATAGTATATTATGCTGTTTTTATCTATCTTCTTGGGAGCCCATGTACTATCCAGGGGTGTTTGTTGGCGTGTATTGTCAAACATGTGCTCGGCATTTGATTTGTGAATGCATTGCTTGATTGTTGCATCTCACATTTTCAGAAGATATCAGTTGCAAGCAAATAACTTTGTAAAAGGTTTTGTATGATGGAGTGAGTAGTTTAAGAAGTTCGCATATTATGGGGATGAGGAGCTAAGGTTTTGATTTTTTGGTACTTAGATATGCATTCTGACATTTATAGAGGAATGAATTATATGAGTTGCAGATTTAACCTTGATTACAAAAACTGCTGCTATGTTTTACACAATGCATCTATGTAAGGTTGTAAAATCAAATACAAAAATCAAAGGCGAGTATAGCGATATTAGAAATTCTGGGTTTTCCATGTTTTGTTTCTCCTTGTGTTTTGGTTAACTGTCATAAGTAGTTTTCATAAGTAGATCTATTTGCCATTAAGCCCTCCTATGTAGCTACTTATTTTAGTTGGGGATGTAAACTTTTAGAATTCTCTTGTCATCAGTTTTTAGGTTCTGCCACAAGTCAATTTCATTGTACCCGGAAAAAGCCTATGTCGGGACCAAAATCCGACCACCTTTTGTCCTCAATAACAGAGGCTCGTTACTCGTTAAAGCATCTTCAGATGTTAGTGGAACGAGCTCGACTGATCCAGGGGGGCCTACTCCCTCATTTGGATAGCGAGGAAGAAAGCATACCCGTTGAGAACCTTAAAGTCCAATCTTCAGGAGAAATACGATCAGAGGATCAAAATGAAACTGGCCAAGTGTATCTTCATCCGGTTAAGGTTTGCATTCCTGTCATCCTGTGGGTTTTCTTTATAATTTGCGTGTGTTTTTTGGTTGATGGACAATGGAATTTATGGGAGGTTTTCTGTGGTGGGGTTGGGCTGTATTTTGTGTTTGGATTATGATTATTGTGTGGGGTATTTTCTTTTTCTCCTTTTGATTTGGGTGATTTTGATTGTTAATCACAACAGTGTTCATCATATAGGATTTAGGAGAAGTTGTTATATAGATCTTGTTGGGAGTATGGACTGTCAGTTTGAGCTGTTTGATTGACGGCGGTTATATAACTTACCATGACCCTGCTTACTTATTCCTACTGTCTTGAGGTGGCATTAAAGCACATACCTCATTTCTGACTCGATTGAATACCAAGGTTTCACTAAAGCATTGCAATATTACTGCTCCTCAAACAAGATTTTTTCGTGATGTTTCTGGCTGGTATACTGGATGTGTTAGATGTTTATGGGTGACATTTCATTTTAGGAGTCTGATTTCAATGATTTTATAATAATTGAACGATCCTTAAATTATATAATTATTTTCATGTCTGGGAATCTTGTGATCTGTGTTAAGTTATGTTTATAGAGTCGTGCTTAATTGGGTTCTTGATTTGGTGCTGGACACAACATACTCTGATGGTTATTTCCATGCACAACTACTGAGAAATTAGATAGAAAATACTATATATAGTAATATTGTAGTTTCAAATTACAACTGTACACCAAAGGCCATATTTCTCTACAATTCTCACCAATGCATATGACGATGATACATATGGCCTTGGCATTTTTATGTGAAAAAAATACATGCATAAATAACCAATCATCTTTCATTATGGCTAGTCAAATGTTTATTTATCCAAAATATTATTTAGCTAACATTTAGCTAGCCTTATGGCCTTTTGGTAGGGCGACTTACAGGACCCATCCGCTTCTCACAAAACACTAGATTTAGCATCAAGCCTCGAAGTGGGCCCAACAAATAGCAATAGTGAAAAAAACAATAGGCTCTCACTTTTGGAGAATGATTGCAAGTGGTGGTTGGTGAAATACATCTCTGATGCCCACAGACACATACAAGGTAAAAGATTTTTTTCCGAATTTTAATAACTGTTACTCGATTCCTATTGATTTTAGCATGAACGATGGATCCTCTATGAATTTAGACATTTCGTGAAACTATGTTGCTCCAAACAGAATCGTTTTGAGAATGTACCTGATGACTACCTTCATTCCAAACTGAAGTGAAAATCTAAAATGTGCAAATTTTACCATAATGCTGCTTTTATAGCAATGACATTATGTCTTCACCTTAAGCTATAATCAAATACTGTTCCTCTTGACAACAGGGACACAGTTTTCGCCAAGATCTTTTCAAGATGTTGAAAGATTTAAACCCAGGATTTATTAGATTTCCAGGTACCACTTGCAAATATATTAGCTTTTCCTTATGTTTCATTTTCAAACTGCAGACTATGTAATATGATATTATATCAAGCTCTACATATAATGAGGAAGAAGGAACTCTTACATTTATACTAAATGTGTGAGACTAATGTCAAAGATCCCCTTTACAGTAAGAAAAAAGAAAAAAGGAATGAATAAAGCTCATGCATGAGTCATGGATATTATATCTCTTCAAGAATGATGCTGCACAATCTCTTTTTACTACAGTATATCAAAATAGTGAAATACCCCTCAATTGATCCTGATGTTGGCCAGTGAGACTAAACTATACTGGTTTATATATTATTCTCATTTAACTTTCTACGGGAGTTATATTGGAGGTTTAATGTGCTTGATTGATTTTGTCAGGTTGTTGCTTTGTTGAAGGTGAATGGTTAAGGAATGCATTCAGATGGAAAGAAACTATCGGCCCATGGGAAGAAAGGCCGGGCCATTTTGTTGATGTTTGGCATTATTGGACTGATGATGGATTTGGTCATCTGGAGTTTCTCCAGGTATAATTTTACTGAAAAGAATTATTCTTATTTTTCCTTTTTTTTTTACTGATTTTTTAATGCCAAACATTATCAGAAAAATAATTTTACTGGCATTAATTTAACTGGAATCCGTAATATCTTTCATAGATTTTTGTTAATTCATTGTTCGTTGTCCCTTTTTTGGATCACTTTTTCTGCAGCTTGCTGAGGATTTAGGCACCGCACCTATCTGGGTATTCTGCAATGGTACTTTATTATTTATTTTACCTTGTTATTATTATTATTGTTTGTAAGAATAACTTTGTATAAACTTTTTTTTTTGAATAATTGCTTATTGACCATTGTACCTAGTGCGGTACGGGCTAGTAATATTAAAGAAAATATTTTGATTTGGATAATGGAATCATTATTCAAAACATAAAACACATTTACTAGAATAAAATAAAATGTTATTTATATATTATTAATCATTTCCTTGTACGCAACATTTTTTGTTTGAGTTTTTGGTAAATCGTTATGGCTACAAATTAAAATCTTCTAACTCTAACGATTCGTAACGCGTTAAACAACTACATACGTACATACAATTGACCGTACTGAACATTGATTTCTTCAAGAACATGTCAGTAAACCGTACTGAACATTGATTTCTTCAAGAACCTTCCAACATGCGATATTTTTCCTTTTATTTATTTATTTATTATTATTATTTTTTTATTTTTTTTTGGCATTTGACATTGTATGATTCTTCCTCTTTTATTTTTTCATTGCATTTGATATGGTATCTCTTAATGGAATATAGCATTTTTTGTTTTAAAATTTAAATCAGGAGTATATATCACATTTAGTGTGTTGAAATGAATTGTAAAGATTGATTTGTATCTATATCGGGGTTAGTATTTGAAGCAAGTGTTATATTTACGCTTAACAGTTGTTAGTTTAAAAAAATCTGTTAGGATATAATATTTTTGGTAGTAAATCAATCAGCACGTTAAATAAACGAATGATATAATATGAAATAAACAAATGAAAGAAACAACTATGATAATCGAATAGTTTAAATAAAGTCTTTTAAGATATCAAAGATGTTCGTCCTTTTTTTTCATTTAATATTGTATCTCTTAGTAAATTATAGTAGATTTTTTCGAATTTGAATTGATAGTATATATCATATATAGTGGGTTGAGATGATTTTTAAAGATTGATTTGTAACTGTTGGGATTAGTATTTATAGCATAAGTTATATTTACGTTGACCAATTGTTGATATTTAAGGGAAGTTGATTATCTGTAAAGAAAAAAGTCAAACTGAAAAAAGAAAAATATCACTTGTGTCCTAAAATCACTATGAAAAAAATAAATACCACACTTTATATTCGTGTGTATGTAAAAAAATAGTGCTTTGAACTAATTTTACTGTGTATAAATCTTTTATTTGAAATTGAATAGGTTTTTTTTACCTGATTTATAGTTATATATATCTTTCCTATGCAAATGAAAGTTTTTTTTAAAAATACAACTCTTTTTTTTTTTTCCAAAACGATAGAGAATATATATAACAAACGCACAAATGTGCAAAGATATAACTTGGAACGCAGCCCAAAGCTGAATAAAATGGGAGGACAGGTCTGACGACCGCCTAGAAGCCCGACACTAGCAACGCTAGAAACCAAAACAAGACACTCAAGACAACCATACAATAAACACACGGAAAATTTACAACTAAAAAGCTCCCCACAGGAGAATAGAGACAAGAGCCGCTCCCCACAGGAGAATAAATTTGCTCCCTCTCAAACTGAGGCCAACGGCCCAAACCAAAAAAACAGAACAAACACTCATACCCAGACCCAAAATACTACCTAACACAGAATCAAACGATTCAAATAACACAAAAAGAAAAAATGAGCCCTTCCACAGCAAAACAAACAGACCAAGCCAGCAGAGAGCAGTCGTTGACGAAGAAGAAGCCAAGTCCAAGGAGCAACTTCCTGACTTAATTCAAAAGTTATTAACAATCCCAAAAAAAAAAAAAAATAAATAAAGAAAAAGAAAATTGGGATCTGATTTTTTAGTATAAACCATTTTGCACTAAAAAGATATGCTCAAACAATTGATTTTGCACTGGTTCACATGATTTGCAAAAAAACATTGGGATTTGATTTTTATCTATAATCCAAATTGTTATTAAAATTGGCCACATACTAAAATTTCATAAATTTCTCTGCAGAAGAGATTTTAATTGCGTGAATTATGGATGACTTTGCTCCGTTATAAAAAAAAAAAAATTAACAAATTGTGAAAACCAAATAAAATTCTGGATTTTAAACATGTTCCAATTAGTAAGTCAAACATTTGACTCATTTATTTTAGCTTATCACAAATGAATTTACCATCAACCTTTTTCAATATATATGAATATGATTTTCAAGTGTCAGCCACAATGATCAAGTCAACACTTCAAGTATTGCACCATTTTTACAAGTAAATTCCTTTTATTTAAGTGTTGAAAAAAAGCTTTATGCAGTTGAGATATTCATGCAAGTTCAATCTAAAATCCACCCTGGACACAATAAAACAACATGCCTCAAGATGAAATCCCGAAAAGATGACAAAGATTCGTTGGATTTCGACACTTCAAGTGAGGATGATAGACAGGATCAATCTTCTTTTCATGCCAGTTCAAGGAGGGGATATCACAGTTGTGAATATGCAAACTCTAGCCATGTGAATCTGAAACCAAATGCTTTTACTGTATCTAATCAAAGGTCTGGAAATGACTTAAGCTTCCAAGTAAGAGAACTGATGAACTTAACTTCATCTTACCAATATAGTATTAAACTTCCCATACGTCTAATCTTTATGAAACAGGATTTGTTGTTTTCGTTTGATCCAAGTAGCGTGGATGCTCAATTTGGCACTTCTAGTCAGACAAGCATCAGAATGGAGATAAGGGGATAAGCTCGCGATCAAAGATGGAAGAAACTGAACTTTAAGAATGAGATTCTCCAATTTTTTCAGAGCATGACTTTACCCTCTCTTACATTATAAGGATTTCAATGCTTTCTGATTTGATAAGATTTGTCCATTCTCATTTTGTTCTCATTGTACTTGTGGAAAATTAAGTCAAAATGTCAAATGGATTTTTATTTGCTGGCTATATTCACTATTAATTTATATTGTCGACATCTGATGGATAAGTCCACTCCTTTGTGATCTGAACTAAAGCTTGTTGATGGTATCACTTTGCTACTTTACAAAATCTCTATGAGGAGATAATGGATCTATGTAATTTGTGAAGATGAGTATTATTCTTTAATTGACTTGTCACTACAACAGATCCGATTCCATTGGGGCCTTTACTGTTCAGGTCTGGAGGTTTATATTTATCATGAAAAGAACTTTGTACTTCTGCTGTTATGTATATGATAATTCTTCTACTTTTGGGGTGCTTTCTTACATGGACTTCTTTCCCACTGGTTTCCAGGTGTGTAAAACTGGATATTATAATGTTAATCTCCATCTTTGAATTGCTCACTTAGCCATAAGGAAGTCTTCTCACGTACTATTTTAGAGAATTTAATTTCACTTAATGGTCTATTAGAGAGTGGCTTTGGCAACTGCTGCAAATATGTGCAAGAAACTACCTTCAGAGCTGCTGATTTCGTTATGGGAGCTGTACCATTGTTAACAAATCTCTTACAGTATCCTGATGCCAAGGTGAGATTTATATTGTCGTGCATTGTAGTCTGACAGCCCTTTTACTTGGATTCATCTGTAGGTTCTCCTTTTTCATGTGTGACCTGATAAACTAATACATGTGTATTCTTTTGTGTGATTCTTAGGTTTTGGATGTTGTGTTTGCTGCCCATGTGCATGCTGATGAGCGCTCGGTATGTTTCTTCTGTATTCTAGTCTTTGTTCCTATGAGCACTGAACTTATTTAGTTTTCTTTATGTTTTCTCCAATACAACTGCGTTTTTAACGGTAGATCAGATCCTTGTGGAGCTGCCCACATTGCGATTGGCGATGTAGGGAACATAGAAGGATTAGCACCCAGGTAAGATCTTTCCTTGGTACTAACAAGTATCACGAGGAATCCAGATTGAATAATATGAGCAATAAACTAAATTGAGCTGATAATTGCATGAGTTGGAATAGAAGGCTTTTGTCCTTCGGCATCCTCTAATGTGGCACCATTCTTTGTATTGGATCCTCTGCGATTAATCATATAATAAAATGATGATTGACTCATCTTGTATTAAGCATTGGGACTATTTGACAGATACAAGAAGTCCCAGCCTGAGTGGTCAGTCTTCCAGGAGGCCAGCTTTGGCCATGCTGAGCTCAGAATCGTGAACTTAACTCATGCGTATTGGAGTTGGCACAGAAATGTTGATGATGAACCAGTTAAATCAGAGTAAGAAGAATAGGGGTTATCAGTTTCGGGTGAAATTTTGTCTTACTGAGGGCTATCGTTTTCACACACAACCAGTTAAATCGTGAACTCCTGTATTTCTCATGTACATTATTACTTTATGTGGTTTGTGCCAAAGAAGACATACATATTTTGCGAGGTTAAATTTTGCAATGCAAGAGGTGATTTTTTCCATCATTTGAAGTTTTTAATACTAATTCAGATACAAGAAAGATTGTGTAGCCAATTGATTTACATCATTTGAAAATGTATATCTTGTTTTCACAGTCAACTTTAGTGCTGGAGAAATGATTAGTCCTTGAATTGTAGTTATTATTGGTTTGGGTTCTCTTAGTGTTAACACTTGTGCAAGGGGTACAGGTATCAACGGTTTTGTGTGAGAGTGTGTGATCACAAACGTTATTTGATTCATAGCTTTTGTAAATTATCCCTAACTGTATGAGGCCTTTTGCAGCAGTTTTCTGTATGACAGGACAGGTCGCATGGGTAAGCCATTAAAGCTCGACAATGGCCTCAATGTTGCTGTCAAATGATGCCGACGAGATTGCACTAGCATATGTCGACACATATGATCGACTTCGGCCTTTAGTGTGAATGTTATATTTATTACTAGTATTTATGTTTATGCTTATTTATATTTTGTTGAGCTTGTATTATGTTGGCTTTTAAGTTTAAGTGGATATGACTTGGTGAGATTATAAATATGTACGTATGATATCATGTATGGGCAGTTATGATTTTATGAATTGAATCAGAAATGAAAAATGGTTTCTTCGTGTTCTTTGTTCTCCCATCACAGGCTTTGCTGCTCATTTGGTATCAGATTCGGGACAGTTCTTGATGCCGCCGAGACGACGAGATCTCGAGATTGATGATCGTCTTCAACGTATGGACGATCGGGTCCAATTGATGGACACTCGGGTGACCGATCTCGCTACGGGGATCGACGATATACGTACCACTCTTACGACCATGTTAGGAGATCAGCAAGCATACAGGGAGGTAGCCGGCAGGAGAGCTGGTTGCGCATGTCAAAGATAAAGAGGCGGTCGTGGAGGTCGTGGTTTTGGCGAGGCGCTTCGACAATCGCCCCTACAGTCGGAGTTTGTCGATGTGGACAGTGAGGATACTTTGTCCGATGTCAATCCCTTTGCCGATGGTTTTGATCCGGAGTGACATGGTGACAGTCGCAACCCGCAATGGAGGCCCGTGGGGGTCCGATTGTCGCGGTCTCCTCCCTGTGCAGCGGAAGGTTTTCCGATCCCGGCTTTCCATATGCCTTCCCTCCGATGGCGGCGCGCCGTGTTGCTGTAAATCGCGATACCTGGTGCCATGTTGGCGTCAAATTCTGTCGTGATGCGGGTGGCGATTTTCAGCGCGTCGGAATGGGAGATTTCCGCCGAGCGGCTATTGGCGAGGATTTGCGCGGTTGGCCGCATCAAGGTCACCGGAGACCTGCCAATTTTGAGGGTGAAGGGGCTGATGTCGATTTGAACGAGGGATGAGCTTTAGGTGACGGTCGGCGATTTGGGAATTTTGGAGAGGGCTAGCGTTTTGCAAATTTTGGTAACAGACAATGTATTGGAGATTGTGCCAGCAGCGATAATTTATTTTATTCTCCCTATGGGCGTGCTGATTTAATTACCGAGGGTCGGTGGGAATCGACTTTTCGAGTGGAAATTCCAAATTTTGCCGACGATTTAGACACGAGTGAATTTCTTGATTGGTCGCCATGGAGGCTGCCCTTGATTTTAAATGTGTACCATAGCTCTGGAAGAAATTTAATCCCTTGTCTTTCGCTCCCGGACGAGAGGCGAGTCGCACTTGTAGTCACTCGGGGACGTGCGGTCGCTTGGTGGTTACAATTACAGGGTGTACGACATCGACAGGGCAAACCGAAAATCATTTCGTGGGTGAAATTTCGTAAGTATCTTGAGCGGGAATTTTTACCGTTTAATTTTGTCTGTACTTTATATCAGCATTTGCAAAATCTTCGTCAAGGACAACGTAGTGTGGATGATTATAATGAAGAATTTTATAAACTCTTGGCCTGGGTAGATATTCATGAAACTCATGAACAGTTGATTTCTCGTTATATTAGGGGATTGTATGTCTCTATTCAGGATGTGTTGAATAAGTTTACACCGACTTCCGTTTCTGAGGCTCATCAGCGGGCTTTATTGGTTGAGCAGCAGCAGGCCCGGAAGGTGGGCACTTCTTTTACGCCGTCTACAAATAAGCCTCTTGGGACTTCGGGTACCGCAACGTCTGCGACGAAGGCTCCGTTCGATTTGGGTGCTCCTTCTGAAGGCCGTGTGGGTGGCCCCACGATGAGGAGTGGCAATCGGCAGTCTAATGGTCCGTGTTGTTTCACTTGTGGTGAGCTGGGGCATCGCCAGGCCCAGTGCTTTCGAAGGCGAGAGGGTCACGGGCGTTGTTTGTTGAAGAGCCAGACTCGACTGTTTATGATGGTCCTCCAATTTTTTATAAAGAGCAGAAGTTCCAGAGATGCATGTCTCAGGAGACGTGGGTCACGCGCTTATCCTTCGTCGGTTTCTTTTGTCTCCCCACTTCTCTTTCGAGGATAAGGTCCAGTGACACCACCTTTTTGAATCCACATGCACCATTGGTGGTTGGGTGTGCCGTTTTGTCATTGATTTCGGTTCCTACGAGAATGTGATTTCGAACGAGGCTGTGACAAAACTGGGGTTGTTAAGTGAGCCGCATCCGGATCCGTATGCTCTTGCGTGGATACAACATGATGATTCTGTTCGTGTCACCCGACGCGTGTTGGTGACCTTTTCTATTGGATCCTCTTATAATGACTTGACATGGTGTGACGTCGTGCCTATGGATTCTTGGCACGTTTTATTAGGACGACCTTGGCAATTTGATCACTCGGTGGTACATAATGGACACCTCAACATATATAGTTTTTTATTTAAGGGCGTCCACATAGTCCTGCATCCGTCGTCATCCAGTTCTGGTCCTTTGCCATCGTCGTCTCTGATTTTATTCGTTTCTCGCGCCAAGCAGTGTAGGGAGTTATCTGACTCGGAGGATGGTCGTTTGATGGTTTTTGACGTATGTGATTTTGTCGACAAGGTCGTCCATGACACCGACGAGATTGTGGATTCGACGGCGAATCCTCTCCACTCGGGGGAGAATGATGCCGACGAGATTGCATTAGCATATCTCGACCAATATGATCGACTTCGGCTTTTAGTGTGAATGTTATTATATTTATTACTAGTATTTATGTTTATGTTTATTTATATTGTGTTGGGCTTGTATTATGTGGGCTTTTAAGTTTAAGTGGAGAGGACTTGGTGAGATTATAAATATGTACGTATGCTATCATGTATGGCCAGTTATGATTTTATGTTTTGAATCAGAAAAGAAAAACGGTTTTTTCGTGTTCTTTGTTTTCCCATCACAGGCTTGCTGCATCAAAAAGACTCGGCCGACCCCTTTTTCAGCGCATCTTCTGAGGCCCACAGCAAGAGAAAGATGTTGCAGGAGCTCGGGAAACTGGCATGCCTGAGGCAGAGGAATTTAATGAGTCTGAGGGCTTATGTGTTTGAATCGGGTGTTTACTCATTGCTTTACGATTATGTGTCGATAGGAAGTCTCGAGGATGTGATGAAAAGAGTTACCGAAAATCAGTTAGAGCTTAAGTGAGAATTCTGTATTCAGATAGCTGTTGGGATTAATAAAGGGCTGAATTATCTGCACCTTTCTTGTGATCTCAGAAGATTACACTATAACTTGAAGCCCTTGAATTTGATCATGGTCCGAATTCGAGCCAAGGTTGGCTGATTGTAGATTAGTTACGATCTTTTCAGTCTTTGTTCGAGCATCATCGGGCTTCAATCCACCAGAATGTTTTAAGAACTCAAGATATGGTGAATGCAAGTTTCCTGAGTATGAAAAATAGGTTATGTTATGTGGTTTTAATTGAAGGTATCAAGAATATCAATTGTCTATTAGTATTTGTTAGCTGCTTTCACTTGTGTTTATATTTTCATAGGTATACATTAGTAGCTGCTACCAAATAGATTTAATGCTTTAGCAGTTCTTGAAGACAAATATTGAGTTGCTTGAACTCTGAATATGCCAGATGATGGTAAAAACTATTCTTGAAGAAACTAAGCTTCATAGAGAAAGCCAAATAAACGTAAAGGAACACTTTGCAAGCAAACCCAATTTGTTGCTCGAATTTCCATGGGCAAAACATTTTGGAACTATTAGAGATCGTTTTTTCCCCTGGTAGTTTGTTATGAATAATCATTATTTATGTAATAGTGTGATTATTCGTTAAGTACACTGAAGGCTTTGGGATGATATTGGGTGTTGTATTAACCGGAAGGGACCCGAACGACACATCTTTTGGTAGCATGGAAGAATGGCTTAGGTAAATGCAGCAAAAACGTGAAGCTCGAGAAGCACTAGACAAGAATATCCTGGTTGGGCTACAAGTCGAACAAGATGAGATGCTAATGGCTTTAAGAATTGCTATTGGTTGCCTGTCGGACTTCCGATCGACCTCCAGCGACGAGCTCCTTTCTATGCTCACTCAATTAAATAGTTTTTGAAATGTGTGTCTGTGTGTTTTTACCTTTTTTTCCTTTTTTTTCCTTTTTTTGTCATGTCGACTTTTGCTTGTATTAATTTCGTAACCTTGTAGTTTTGCTTGACCGGCCAATGCTGCGAAGGTGGTTTGAAATATCCAAGCATCTTTAAGGTGACAATTTTAGCATGCATGATGTGGATATGAAGGGCTTTGTATATCTTAGATTTTTGTGGAGAGCTTTATTGAGATCAAGTTTGGTTCGATATAATTACTATATTAGAGCCGCTGTTAAGTTATTGCATTTGACATGTTTCTCTCTTTTCTTTATGTGGTATAGTCAACCCAACCCAAATCAGAAGGAGTTGAAAATATTATCAACACATCAAACTAGTCTACTCAAAGACCATAACAAAACGCAAACTATGTTGTAAAATTTAGCCATCAAAACATAAAAGTGAGGGCATTATCATCTGCAATAGTGAAACAGTAGTGACAAGGCATCTGATCTGAAATTATGGAAGCAAGGTCATTATATGTATTCAATACACGATACGTCATAGCATATTGTAAGTTTTTTGCAACAGAATGAAAGACACCATAGGAAAACAACCTGAAAGATTGTAAGCTTTTAGCTATAGAATCAAAGAGACCACAGGAAAGCCACCTGAAAGATGAAGTACGTTGTGCTGCAATGTAAAGGATGCAAAATATCTTAAGATCCCGAATGAAAGAATTCTTTTGTTGCAATGTAAAGGATGAATGTATATCTTAAGATCCCAAATGAAAATTTTTTGTACAGTATAAACGCATGTCTTCATAGTTTGGGTAGGTAAATAAATAATCAATAAGCCCTCATAGAAAAATCGATAGTCATAATATACACAAACATCATTTTGCATGAGAATACACAATCCCATTTACAACTCTAACTTCTCTCCCTTAGCAACCTCAGGGAAAACACACACACACACACACACACACTTAGCTGAAATCCTATGGAATATAGTTGATAACAAAACAATATCTCACACAAAACATCCAAATCAAGCGACAACAAAGACGAGTTAATGGGGAGTTTAGATTTAACATTCAACTCCTTCAACAAGATCCTCTAGTTCCAGAAGTTGAAGTGCAATGGAGTACTTGGCGAATTTTCTCTTGGCATTTGTAGTATCTAGATAGAGCTTCTGAAATATAAATGATCCAGAACCATCACCTTTGACAACACAAAAGGTTCACCCAAAAAAAAAATAAAAATTCATAAGTTCAGAAAACTTCAAATACTAATCGAAACTAACTAGAGAAAGGTGGTACCTTTAACAGTGTAAATGCAATGAACCTGTTTGTCCCATTTTTGTTGCGTTTCTCGTTGTCTTTTTGTCTTTATTTTTCCCCATTTTAGGTCGTTTAGATGAGTTTTAGTTCATTTTATAGTTTATTTATTGTTTGCTCTCTTCTTGGTTTTTCTTGTGTTTTTCGTTCGTTTTTCGTTTTTCTTCGTCGCCGTTGGTGCGTAGGTTGGAAGTCTCGGGAGAATAGGAGTTCGGAAAAATACTAGTTGGGCAAGCCTAATCAAATAGAGGAGTTCATTGGGAACACACAGGAAAAAGCGGAATCGAATTCCGAGTTGAAGTGAGCTCAAACGGACGCGAGAAGCAAAGTTGTGCGAGCTGCCCACCTGCCCAGGCCCCGCGCCGCGCCACCCGTGCCTCACCGCGCCGCGCCAGTGCCACGACATGGACTGCAGCTCCCAGGCATCCCAGGCCCCGCGCCGTGCCAGCGTGATGAAGATCGCGTGTCCGACACGGAGAAGGATCTCTCGACTCCAAAACACAGAACCCTCCATCCCTCTCTTTTCACTCGTTTTTTCACCTTTCTTTCATATTTTGCGACGTAGAACTCAGATTTACACTCGTATTTCGCTATTGTTCTTGGATTCAAGCTTGTCTTTCGAATTCGACTTTGGGATTTTTATCGTAAGATTATCTTTTCTCTTAATTGATGAATATGAATGATCTTATTGAAATGATTCTTTGTGTTGGATTGATTATGAGTAGCTAAATCTTTATGCTAGGGATAGGGGATTAATGTTTTGATTTCGATTGCGATTGTGGGCATTCGTTGATTGTTCTTTTCATGCGAGTTGATCTTTTTCAAGGGTTTTTCAACTGTCAGGCTTGAGTATTGACAATTGTTGAAGGGTGACACTTCAACTTACAATTGTTTCAATTGAATTTGATTTGTTCATGCTTGAAATTGGTGAATCTATTTGATTAGTCGGTTAACCACCCTCTAGTCCACTTTAATCAATTCTTAGAACCGAAAGGGGAGGAGTCGGTCGAAATAAGCTCGTTTGAACTACGCTTGTTCGTAACTTTATTGCCTAGGAAGTTAAATGAATTGTTCATTTGCCGTTCTAGTTTGTTCTCTTGTTACGAAAAGTTATTGAGAATGAGTACTTGAACGTGTCGATTACTCAAATCACTTAGCTGAACCATCACTTTCCCATTAATTGCAATTCGAACCAAAACGGATATCCCCGACTCCCTAGCTTCTTAAATCCTGATTGTTCTACGTGTTAATTTGCTATTTTGATTTGCTTAGTTTGAATCTCAGTAGTTGATAATCAAAAATCAAACCAAAAATCTGAATTAGAATGTTTAGGAATTTTTATTTTCTTTTGTGTGGTTGAATAAACGTGCATAATAATCCGGCTAACCTTCCTCAAGAGACACGACCCGAAGTAGAATCTCTTGTAGATATGGAGCAGCCTTAGGATGTCACCCTTGTGATTGTCTAACAACACAACTTCGCAATGACCCCTTTTAGTGCAAGTGCAAATATTTTTAGCCACATAGTTATCCAAAGTTGAATCAAAATACTATCAATGAGAATGCAAATGAACTAGAGAGCGATTTACATGTGAAAAAACAATTTGCTCATTTGGCATGATAAATTGCATTCCGGCAATGTGACAAGACTCGCATCATGGCCAAGTTTCTTCCTCTTGGATTCTTGTATCTTTCTTAGCATTTTCTTCAAATAAAATACAAAATTTTAAAGATCCCATAGTTGATGATGAAACTAAAACTTGCAGAAATGAAAAAAAAATAGTTTCCCCTTCAAAGTGTGTACATAAACATTTTCCCCCAAGAAAAACAAAATTAAAGAAAAGATTGACTCATTTTTTTTTTAAATAAACAACACCTCAGGAGGGTGGGGGGTTAAGGTCGAACCCCCAACCTGTATATAAAAATGCCCTAAACGGGCTGAAAAGTCACAAAGCTACAAGTCCAATGTCTGATATACATCAAGTCAAAAGAAAAACCAAAAAACAAAAGCAAGAAAAAATACGAGGAGAAGCTGACAACTGCAGCGAGAAATACAAAAATAACAGATCCTGGTCCGGGGAGAGTCCCGGCGAAAAAGTCAACATCACAATGTGGCAGATGCACCAAAAGGTAAGACCGACTATACAAATCTGAATGAAGGATATCCCATCTGGTCCATCCGTATGGTGCGGAGGCGGAGAGGAATATCGTCAGGGTAAAGAATGCGTCTCTGGGGGTGGAGGACCTGATGCCAGCAAGGAAGTCAGCTGGCCGGTTCCCCTCGCAGAAGATGTGCGAGATCCGAGAGTGAATCGACTGATGGCTCTGATACGCATGAGAGGGTGCTGGATCTACCACGTGTCCTGATGGCCAGATGACAAAAGAGTGATGACAGTGACAACATCCAACTCTATCCAAAAGTTGACTCCTTATGCGCATGTAACTACAAACGAATAGATACCTTAACATTGGGTGGAGAAACAATTTATACCGTTCATCGAAAAAATTAAAAAATCATCGGAACCAACCGAAATAGGGAATGTATCCAAAATGCGGCAAAAAACTTCTTGATCCCTTCATAATCATCCACATAACTTCAAATAAAAGTAAAACATGGAAAAGAAGATGTTACTGCTACTCAACCAAAATACAAGACACATAGTAAATCGAAAGAGAAATATTGAGGACTAATTTTACATCATTTGAACCCGTCCAAATATCTCCGAATATGGATCAACACCTTGATGAATAGTAAATTATAAATTACCCAAGAAACAAAGAAGCACAATACATCCAACGTATTATAAATTGGGGTGAGAAGAAGTTGAAGGTACATGCAGGAGGAAAGGAGGATTTTGTTCCAGACGGCGCTTGCTGGATTCAACCGGAATCTAGAAAGCTTTACTGAGCTTGTGGAAATAAATAAGAAATGAATAGACCCTATTCCTTAAATGTACCAAAGTTTTACAAAAACGAAAGGTTCTTAACTTGTAACCTACCATAATGAAATAAATAAGAAAGAAAGACAACAGAAACTTCTCAAACCAACAGACACGACATGGCAATTTACTGTATATTGAATACATATCAAACAAAATGATATAAATCCCAAACACATCACATAGAGATTTAGAAAAGGTGTCAAAATTGGGAAAAACCTGTCACGAAGAGAACTTTAGCTATTTATCAACCCCATTGAAGAAAAAACATAATGCATAAAAGTCGATAAGAAAACATTAGCTCGAAAATAAGTTGAATCATCTTCAGAACTTAACATTTTGAAAAGAAAAACTAGGATCACAAGCTTTCAAGTCCGATGAATGTTCAAAAATAAATGGAAAAACTTCAAAAAAAAAAAAACAATAAATATACTCGCCAAATTTAATTCTCAGTCTGCTTTCTTGGCCTCCTAAGGTGCTTCGAAAAGTTACGGCACTAGGAAACAATAGAAAAAAAACATGTTATAATTCAAGTAAAAACAAGAATAGCATTAAAGAGTTAAGGAGTTGCAGCAGAGGCTGAACTCACAGATTCCGAAGAGTGCACTATCTTTCTAAGTATCCCTTCCTTGGCTTCATTTTCTTTATCAGTAAATGGTAAATATATAGATAAAAAATGGCGTTACAATGACCGTCGAACTGCAAACAAAAAGCCAAGTTGGCAACCACAAGCTCGGTTCCTCACTCGCTAATCAAAATAATGAGAGGCAAACCACAGGTCGGTTGCTCAGCTCAAACCAAATCGTGAACATATATCAAAACGACTTTCCTATCAAACTCGACAACTACATTAAAAAACACCGCGAAAATTGTACGATAAATATGAGTTTGAATCGTGACCCTTCTTTGGCTTCATTTGCTTCATGGTAGAATATCTCAATAGCGATTTTCATTCTTTCAAAATATGAGTTTTCAATACTGAAATGCATCCCAGCCCTTAGCTTATCGTATAGTTGCATGAACCTTATTGTAAATAATCCACAATCACAACTGCAATACAACAATGTAATCAACAATTCAATGTTGTTGTTCCAAATACAACCTTGTATAGTATTTCCAACATATAGAATATCTGATTATACAAAATTCAAACTTACAGATTCTTTTGTTGTGGTGCCCATTGAGCCATTTTCGTAGGAAATTGAAAAATGTAGATACTATATGTTGTACCACAGCCAATCTCTAAAGCCTCATGGAAACACTTGAGCTGGATGATAATGAAATTCTATAAATAAAATCACTGTCAATAAAACTTCTTACAAAAAAAGACAATAATTTCCAAACTAATTACCATAACTTCAGCACTTAAAAGGCGCTCAGTACAAATTTTTGGCCGACGGACTTATGGCATTTGGGCGATGGAATTCGCGCGATATCTTGTGATCAACAGAGAGTTTAGAAGATGAAAGTTCGCGCCAAATCTTATGTGGGAGAGACGCCTGAAGGAGAAGGTAGAGAATATAGGATGAAATAAATTAAAATCCCATATAAATTATACTATTATGAAAAGAAAAAAAATAGAATAAGGATATATTTGGTAGATAAATAAGCTAGCTTATAGCTTATTTGGTTAGCTTATAAGCTCCCTATTTTTAAATAAGCTCCAGGACGAGCTTTTTTAAAAAGCTCGAGCTTATTTGAAAAGCTTCTTTGGGTAGCATTTCAAATAAACTCGTTGAAATTTTTATTTCAGCTAGCTTATCAGTTAATTTTACCAAACACTTTTATCGTATAAGTTAGCTTTTCAGCTATAAGCTATGAGCTCAAAAATTACTGATAAGCTATAAGCTAGCTTATCAGCTATCAGCTAGTTTTACTAAATATAACCCAAAAGTAAAAGCTGGTATGAGACTTTTCCAAACACGTGTAACATAAGTTTTTCAAATAAGCTTGAACTTTTTAAAAAGCTTATATTACCAAATAAAACTTATTAATTTTTTTAAAAAAAACTTATAAATTAACTAAATAAGCAAGCTAGCTTTGTGTCTACCAAACACAGCCTTAAACGCTATTCGACAAACATTAGGCCATGTTTGGTAACCAACTAAGCTAGCTTAAAGCTTATTTGGTTAGCCTATAAACTTCCTATATTTAAATAAGTCTTGTTTGATAGGATGGACTTTTCTTAAAAGCTCGAGCTTATCTCATAAGCTTGTTTAGGTAGCTTTTCAAATAAACTAGTTGATATTTTTATTTCAGCTAGTTTATCAACTAATTTTACCAAACAATTTTATTATATAAGCTAGTTTTTCAGCTATAAGTCATAAGTTATAAAATATAAGCTCGAAAATTACATATAAGCTATAAACTAGCTTATCAGCTAGTTTTACCAAACATAGCCTAATATCTAAAAAAAAAAGATAATTTATTATCTTTTCGCATTAAAAGGAAAAAAAGGACTAATAAGAGAGAGTATTAAAAGGAAGAGTTAATTGCTATATAAACCTTGACCTTTTAGCGTTTGACAATTTGATCCAAACCTTTAGATAATTACAATATAATTTCATATTGTCTTACTTTTGCAAAACGAACCTAAAATTCATCGGACGTTCAAAAAATACCACCGTGTCCGGCCAATTTTATCCACGTCAGATTCTCTCTTGCTGAGCGTGAATTCATAAATTACGTGGAATTTATGGAATTTGATGTTTAAATCCTGAAATTTTATTTGAACATTTCTTTTATTGAACAAAATAAAAATTAAACCGAAACCCTAAAAATTAATTTGGTACAAATGAATTGAATCCTTTTAAATAGCATATACAAAACAAATTCATTTCATGCGGTTTTCCTCAATCAATTAATTACTCTTTCTACAATTTCAATTTAGGACTAGATTTATTTTCGTATTGTTGATAACCGACTTGATTATACAGTTAACACTGGAGATCGATTACACCAATGAGCACCATTGGAGTAAACCAGCCAGAAAAAGATGAACTTGAGATAAGTCGGTATTTATATACCGACTTCCGAGACGATCAAAAGAAAAAGACCGACTTCATCAACATCATGACCGGTCATGTCAAAACCTCTCTGTTTAGACCGACTACTACAAAGTACAAATTTCCAAACACAAGACAAGCTGTAAGCACCTGATTGGATCATCGAGCAATCATTGATGTTCCCCAGATCAGAGCACACCGCTTAAGTGAAGCAGCTCGACATTAAATACGCTCTTATCCATTTCGAGCAAAAGGACAAAAGCTACCGTACTATAAATAGCAGAATTTATAACAGTACGAGGATCTTTTCGACATATTGTACATGAACAGAAAATTATGTCGGTCATGAAAACAAAACCGACTTCTTGTACTCTTGCGAATGATCAATAAAAACATAAATTCCAAGTTTATCTTCGTAAAAACACACTCAGCTGTTAATTTTCATCGTTGTTAATTTCATACAACAACAGTTTGGCGCTAGAAGGAGGGCGGTTGAACCTCCGATCTTTTAAAAAACAAATATATAAACAACACGCACCATGTCAAATTCTGGACGACAAGAACGGAATCCAGATATAGGAGTCAATCGACATCTTGCGCACACTACTGAAAATTCAACTGTGCCATCTATGACGATAGATTATTCTGTTCTATTTCAAGATCCAGAGTTCTTGAGAAATCTATCAAATTTTATGGCACAAACAAGAGCAGAACCAACCACGACGGTTCATAACCAAGTTCATGTTTCAAATCCACAAGCGAGACAGCAAAATAATGTGCCAACAGCGTCACATGCAACTTCCCATCCACGAACACCTGAATCACAGCGTAACGCTACAACTCATAATCGTGGAGTAGTTCCTGTGCAAACTCGAGCCCCAGAACCAGCTCGACAAGAAATTACTGCTGAAAGTCATTCTGGGCGTCGACAGCAACAATCAGCACCTTCATCGCTAGAAACATCACAACATGACCAACCATCCAATTTACGACGCACTATTCAACGAAATCGATTTCGACGTGAACATGATGAGTTACGTCATACTATTGAGCGTAATCGTCTGAGGCGTGAGTCGGAGGAGTTGGAAATGTTAAGAAAAAGGATTGCCGAGTTAGAAACTCGGCAAGACAACCGTGAGGAATCTCGACGTCAAATCCCGACATTTGAAGATGTTTTTCAAGAGACCGAGACTCCATTGGCCTCTTACTTGACGAGAGAACCACTCCCTGCCAAAGTGAAAGTTCCTCAAATCGGTCTATATGACGGTACCTCGGATCCAGATGCTCATCTCGGTCAATATACTTCTTGGATGGACTTACACGGTTCAACCGATGCACTGAGATGTCGGATGTTCTCTTTAACCTTGGGACCCCGAGCCCAAAAATGGTATCATTCCTTACCACAAGGCTCAATTTCAAAATGGCAACAATTGAGAACAGCTTTCCGATCACATTTTATCGGAGCTCGTGTGTCTTTAATACCAAAAGAATCTATCGCCAATATTGTTCAGAAAGATAATGAGAGCGTAAAAGATTATATTGCTCGGTTTAATGAACGAGTACAAAATATGGAGCAATGTCATCCAGAAAAGCTGTTGATTACGGCCATAGCTGGACTAAAACCAAATTCTCTGTTTCGTTGGAGTATATATCAAAACAAGCCGACTTCTTTCCAAGACTTTTTAGCTCGAGCTCAACAACATATTATAGCTGAAGAATCGATATCGGTTCCTGTCATCGACTTTTCGTCACACAAGTCGGAAGTCGGACAAGAATAAAAAAAGAAGAAGAATAAATTCTTCAAACAAAATAAATCTCGATTTGGGAATCCTAAAATACCTGAGGTGCAAGAAGCTAGGACCAAATATCTTAACGAAGTCAAATCCAGTTATCAGGCGGTTTTTTCAGCAGGAGCAGCAACTATATTTGAAGAATTAAAAGGGAAAGGAATCCTTCCTGATCCCC